GACTGGTGGGGGCATAGTTCTGACCTAGGGAGACTCTAGGACACCCTACAGATAATCTGAGTTGTGCTGGGAATGGGTTTCCCAGCCCTGATTTATATTTCTAAGCTATTTGGAAAGAGCTAGTTGTTGCGTAGATCAGTCTTGTACACTCATTTATACTTAACACCAGGAGATCTCATTCTTAAAATGGCAAATATCACTACTGCGGCAGGGGAATAAACCAGCACAACTTCTACCCATCTTCAGACTTGCACATATTGGGATGCCATCAACTCATGCACAAACAACAACCTTAAAAATAAAAAGGAATCATCCACTTGCATTGAAAATAGGGCAACATTTTCTCATCTTAGGAAAAGTTCACCATCCAAATACTTGCCTGCTTTGGCTTTGAAACCTAGAGAAACAAGGCCTTTGTTTCATTCATATAACCATTGTGAAAAATGTGAGGGAGGGGTGCTGTTGGACTGTATGATAGGAAAGAGGGTCTTCCACCCCAGTTCCCTTTTGCCTTAGCTCTGACCCAGTGACATCTAACATGGCTTCCACAAATAGAAATGAATGGTGTGGGAGCAGTGCAGCATCTCCATCACATCTGGTACTGATCTCCTGACCAGTCAGTCAAGAGGCTGAATGCCCTGGTATCCAGGTGTGATGTGGGTAAGTACTCCAAGTGGAAAATGTGCTGTGTTGCAATCTGTGCTCTGTCTGGTGTTGGGCTACTGGACATCTTCCTTTCCATCTCCAACATTCTCTGTTCATCATTCTTCACTCCTCTCTGACAGGGAGACCAAAGCCAGGTGCTGGGAAGGTCTATAAGCTGTAACAAGGATAGATGTGCTGCATGGAAATGCAGAAACAGGCAAAGCTAATCTCCATAAGGTAGACTGGAGGCTTAACGCACCACAGTTTCAGTTGAACAAATGCCAGCATCACCAGCAAGGATTCACTGAAATCTAAGCTAGTAGGAAAGCAAGAGTTCCACAAGTTTAGGTAGCGGTCATCAGAACCACTGCATGTCACTGGGAGACGACAACATTGGGACAATGTTGAACAACTGCTAGCACGTCATGGCTAGAATGGATCTCAAGAAACTCTTCCGTATTACCTCCAGTATTAGATGCAAGATGACTCGGCATACCAGTCACCGGGGGACATCAGTGGAAGAGTGCTACTGAATTGATGTGCTTGGCCACTGAGAAACAGGACGCTCAACTATACAGTCCTTTGCTCTGACCCCGCACAGCTGTTCCTGCCTTCCTCCCAGCAGCACCTACACATCTTTCTGTCTCTCAACTTTGTTACCAGTTGTAACCACATGTGAGAAGTAGAGCAGCTTTTTTAAAAAACCTTAGGGTGCATACAGATGTATAGGATTTGAGTGCTGAACCACCTGTGTAAGCCTGCTTCAGGGAGGGACATTGGTAATAAGCCACCCTGTCCCTATGCAAGGCTGGAGGCGCGAGGCTCTGACAGGGTCCTGGAATCTTCCTACCTCCTTCCTAAAGCATGGTAAGCACTTGCCTGGCTTTGGGAAGGAGGCAGGAGGACTCTTGGAACCCTGTCAGAGCCCTTCCTGAAGCTGGGCAAGTGCTTACTGGGCTTTGAGAAGGCACCTTTCTGAGATGTGTGTCCAGTGCGGCTGCACTGCTCACACTGCCCTAAATCTGCCCTTGCCTGCTTACTGTACTTTGTTCAGGTGTATTGTTTTCTTACCTGGGTAGAGCTCAGGGAAACTATCTCTACATGGTTGGAGCAGAAGCTAGTTGTGCATAGCCTGGTTGGCTGGAACCACTGATGCTCCAAAATCACGTCAACATTTCAACCTTTAAAACACAGTTCCTACATTAAATTTAAAAGGGGGGGGGTTAACTGCAGAAAGATCCATATGTTTTAAAATATAAATTTTAAAAAGTGGATATCCCACCTGAAGGTGGGGGAGGGGCAGGCCCGAGAATTGAATTTGTGGTCAAATCAGTGGTATATATGCCTTTTTTGCAGCAAAGTGGCCGGAAACAGGTTCACACCAGGGGAGGAATGATGGCGATTTTAAGCTATAGCTGTACGAATTATGGATGCAAAACACCGAGCTGTTGCTATTATTATTTCTTTATTTCCATTATTGGGCATGACCCTAACCTTCCCAGCACTGCTGCCGATATAAGTGAACGGTGGAATATGCTTGGAAAATTTGTAATGAGGCTCTGTTAGCCGTGTACAGGTTTGAAAACCACCTCTCTAAGCGGATCAGTCACAGTTCAAACACCAACACAAAGACCTTGATTTGACCCCAGTGGATAGTAAACCAGTACTGAGTGACTGTGAGATAGCAGCCAACCGAGAAGTAGTAGCCATACTGTTTGTGGTCTAAAGTGCTCCAAAGTGGGGCAAGGCCCTTTTTATGAAACCATCTCTCATTCAGCTGACAGGCACTGCCATATCCCAATCTGTGCTCCAGCTTTCTCCATCCCTGAATCTCCCCTACTAATGAAGTACACCCTATGAACATATGGTGGCTCCAGAGCACTAGCCAAACAGAGTCACAGACAAAGTTGCGTCGGGAAGACTATGCTTTTAGTCAGACCAAAGTGGGAATGAACCTGGGGGATTTCAGCCAAGCACACCATAGACAGTTGCTCACATCACAAAAAAACAATCACACAATTTGGCACAATTTGGCAGTCTCTGCTCAGAAGAGACTAGCAAGATACTGGGACTGTACCCACAACTAGTACACTTGATTATTACTGGAAGTCTACTCAAGGAGTAATGGTTCTGTCTCTCTCTACTGTGTTTCTGGTAGAGTTGGAGCTATTTGTAACTTCCCAGTTTGCTTCTCTAGAAATCTACACAAGGCCAATGAAGCAAAACTATTAACCTTAGCACCAGTGGTATCATTGTGTATATAAGTCAGCTTGGGGAAGAACAGTGGGAGACCTGGAGGAAAAGGTTCTGGAACATAGGGCATTTGGTGCAGGACAGGGGAGGGGGGTATGTAGACTGGATTTGGGACAGAGCTGGTTTTTGAAAGGTTAAGAAACTATTTCTGATCTCAAGAACAAGGATCACTAGAAAGAAAGCAAATGCACCTCAATGTGTGTGCTAAAGGTTTGCTTCCAGATCTCTCGAATGATTTTTTTCTACAACAAAGTTACCTCTTTCATGTATTTACATTGTACTACTACCTTGCATATGACAGCAGTGACCTGCTTTTTACCCCCATTCAAACCAGACCAGACCAGGAGCGCAAAAATCAATTTTCAGCTTTCTCTGAAGATACACATGTAGTGCATTGCAGCATGTTCTTTGGGACTGTTTGGGTGAATCAAAACCTCCCAAGACGAATCAGGTTTTTAAAGGGGTTCCTGCCATTTGCCTTGCAATGAAACACCTTAACAGTGGGGCCACCAGAATCTGCACAATAAATTGTGATGTAACCAGCATAGGAGTTTGGCATGCTACATTCTTTCCAAGAGACTTTCTCTAAAATTTTGGCTCAGTACTGAAGCACCAAACCAAGGTTACAGGAAGTTCCCATTCACACACATTGTTGAGCAAGCTTTCTTTGCCTAGAAACTTACAGGTTCAAGTAACCGTCCCACCGTTATTTGCTTTCTAGAGTTCCTTCTAACAAGGCAAATGGAATTCACAACATTGTAATTACTCACAATAGGTTGTATGCCAGGATTTGGATTAACTGGAAAGAGAATTTTGGTTGAGGAAATGAGCATGTGAAGTCAAAATGAGGTGCACCAAGATATGCACCAAGATATGCACGACATTTCATCCTATCACATCACATTGTGCTGCAAGGAAATGCCATCAGAGTTATTGACAGCGCACTTAACCGCTACCTTCTGATGGAGTTGCATTACACTGTTGCATAGTGCTGCTGCTCTTCATATTGCCCAATATGTGATTGTAGCTCTGACATCACCCACAGCAGAAGCAAGACAGGATCCTTCCCACTTTGCTGGCTACTCTGAGTACAGAGGCAATGCTTGAGGGGATATTTGGCTGAAGAGAAATAAATCTTTGAGTTCTCTGGGGACTGATAAAGCTTTCATTAAGTGGCAAGGTATGTTTATCACTGTATGTGCAGAAATAACAGGCACAAAACTGGATAACCTGCCCTCAACAGCAAGCAGCTTTTGTGGAGACTGGGTGATGAATTCAAGTTTTACTCCTGTTTTCAAACCTCCAACAGTATATGTGGCTGCTTTCAGTAATAATCCTCCCAGCCATGAAATATGTACCTGCAAAGTCATCTGAAGTGTTCTGTGGGTTTGAGGTGAATGGCAGGTGTCATCATGACCTTCACTACGATGCAGAGTTCTTTCACCTTTCTCTGCATGGACACTGGAGACAATTAGCTGTCTGCAAAACATCTGCTTTTAGAGCTCTAGTTGTGGCCCATTGCCCACCACTGTGATTCCAATACTGGATGGATGGAGGGGACTCTAAAGGTGCAGTCAGGTTTCTTCACAAAGTCCAGGAAGAAAACCTTTAGCTATCACCTTCTTGGTTTGGCACAAATTGTTGCTGCCAATCATGGTGGACAATTTCCTTTAGAAGAAAAGGGACAGTGTGAACTGGGAAGAAGGTAATCTTTATCTTGGCCAACTCCACCCTTTGTCCACCTCAAGGGTAGAATGCTGCAAAAATCCCAAAATGAAGTCTTCACAGTGATTTGGGGGAGCAGAAGAGATCATCTTGTTTTCTTGATGGACTTAAACTTTTATGGGCCACGCAGGGAACAGGCTTGGCAAGGAAAAAAATGAAGCCAGCGACTGCTGGGTTTTGGCTGTTTCTTGCCCACTAGAAATACTCTGTCTTGCTATTCATTTTGCTAAAGACAGCGAGAGCCACTGTGACCTTCAACCATGTATGGGTTACTAGTATGCCTAAGGATCTTCACACACTTCCTTCTCCCCTGCTTGCTCTCCAAGTCCTCTCAGTATGGTGTGAGTTAGTTTAAATAAATAATACTGACCATAAAATTCAAGTCAATTTCTTTTTCTTTTTTCTCTTCTGTGTCTTTGTTGCTGACAACAAATACTATAATTTGTCAGGATAAAATGCTTGGAAATTAGATGTAAAAAGATCTAGATTAAAATCCTCAGGCTAAAAATAATAATTTAAAAATTGATTTGAGATGGGATCTAACTAATGAAAGATTCAGCAGCAATGGCCTTTGAAAACACAGAGCGGGCTGGGTGGGATGGAGATGCCGTGGTGACATCCTAGGATTACTTTTGAGTTTAATAAGCCATTTAAATTGGCTGAAAAGTTAAACTAGACTATAGAACCAATTTGGCAAGAATATACCATTGTTTTTCCTGTTCTATTGAATAATTTTGTCGTTGCTGCTGTTTGCATGATTGGGATGGGAAAGTAAATTGTTTCAAACAGAATAGCAATTTGTCAGCATTGTTGATTAAATACTTTTAAGACAATAAAATGTCAAGACATATCCTGATGAAAACTGGCAAAGGTCTTCCCAGAATTCCATGGATTCAATGGGGGGGGAAAAACTTACGAGGCCACTGTTCTTTGTTATTTGGCCACAGCTCAATGGGTGGAAAGGGGAGCAATGAATCAAAGCTCAAGGATGTTCACTGTGTGGAGAAAGTCGCAATGGTTCGTGCTTCCCAAAGTCTTGCTCAGAGCTCAACCTGCACAACCTGCTGTGCAGAGACACTGGAAGGGCAAGGAGAGGATGACAGGAAACAAGAAACAAAACAATGAGAATAGCTTCTGGACTTCTGAATGACGAAAGAGAAGGTCCTCATGAGTGAGTGCCAAGGTGTAACCAGAGTTGATGGGACTAGGCAGCTGCCCTCTTCTGGCAAGTCTGGAGGGAATGGAGATGGTGCACAAAGCAAAAATGAATGGGCTAGACTAAATGGATATTTCAAAGGCAAGACACCAAGGGCAGCGGATGGCGACTGGCAGTCAAATAGAGGAGGAGGAGCTGCAGAGATAACAAGATACTCAAAGAAGGTCTAAAGGAGGCCCCTCTTCCACAGTCTGAGGTATCTTCCTATGGAAACAACAAAAAAGGATAGATAATTTTGGTCATTCCATATGTAGGCACGGATAAGTTACTTCCCTGCATGTTTTTCAATGTGATTTTCAAAAGCTGTTCAACATGAACCACAATAGTCTTTATGATTCAGTAGACACTTCAATCTCCCATCCTAGGTCCATTACTCTTTACATATTCTCACAGTTCCTATAAACATGGGAAAGGAAAATTATCTCTTTTTTTTGAAGATAGAGCCCAGTGAGATTAGAAGGACTTCCAGATCAGCTCTAAGGAATAGTTGGCAAAAAGAGTGCCGCCTCCCAAATAGAGTGGTTTTGCCATTAGAAAAGGAGTGCCTTATTAAAGAGATACTCATCCTCCCAGAGGTGCATCTTGTGAAAGTGATTTGAAGGGCAACACTGCGTGTGTCACATCACACATGCGCAATATCCCATCATCACACATGCAACATCAGGCTGTTGGAAGGAGCTGGGGAGTACAGCTAAATGCAGCAGTAGTGTAGCTTCAACGGCTGGTGGCTCCTCCGGTGAGGGGCTCCTTCAGCCCTCCTTCCCCTCCGTGGCAAGTGAACAGAGGAGAAGGACCTGGCCACTGAATCCACGCCATGCTTGGCCTCCTCTGCCCCCTATTTTTTTTGGACATTGGGGGTGGGTGCCCCCAATATTTTGGGCTGCTTGTTCCTGATCTCTACCCTTTGCAGTGCATCTTGCTACACTGGGACAAATTTGGCGAGGAGTGTTACCCCACAGTAAATATGCCAATTGAATTAGCAGGCTAGGGGATGAGTAGATGGACTAGTGGCCTGGTACTCCAGCTTCCTATTGCGAGCAGTACTCTGACTGAATCCCTTAGGGACATAGGAAGTTGCCTTATACAAAGTCAGACCGTTGGTCCATCTGACTCAGCATTGCCTACAATGACTGGTTGTAGCTCTCCAGGATTTCAAACAGGAATTTCCTCCAGCTCTACTTGGACATGCCAGGTATCAAACCTCAAACCTATATGTAAATAAGTGTTCTCCCACTGAACTATAGCCCTCCCCTACATACAGCCCTGATATGGCCCTTCATATCAGTAGAATGGTTTGACAAGGAAAGCTCTAGCCTACAGCTTCAGCCTTGGGTTTCTCAAATTCCAGGCTATCCTCCTAGCGGAGCAAAGCCACTTTAGATATATCCATGCACTCCTTGTGTCCTCCTACTTACCGTTGCATTGTAGTCAAAACAGATGTGGGGACCTTTTCGATACCGTGGCTTGTCTACTAGTTCACACTGATTGGGATCTCCCGGTGGAGCTTTGCAGTGTCAAAGAAAATATAGCACAAGGCAATAAATACACTTGTAGTGATATGGAAGAGCGGGAGGAGTGGGGTCAAAGAAAGGAGCCCTTGATTATGGAGACTAGCAACCACAAGAACAGGTGGCCAGGTCCTGAGCTTCCCCCTTCCCCTTGGGCCTGATGGGGATTGACCAATGATGTCTGGTGACCCAACTTCAAAGTATCAAATAATATCTGAGTGTCACAGCAATTGCTCCATTTGCACCGTTATAATCTGGCCATGTTTCCACCCAACAAGTAAAAGCACAGAATATTTGTAGAGCTATAGTGCAAGAAACAGGAAAACCATTGCAAAACATTGGGGGGGGGGAGGTGGACTGAAGAGGCACCAATCATGGAAACATTGGGGGCTCATGACTGCATTGTGTGGATTTACAAGTAAACAAAACATTACAGTAATGGGAGAAACCAGCAGTGTGGATGTGGCCAATGTCTGTCATGAAATTTTTCACAGGGAGAGGGCAATGGCTTATTCGTATCCACTGCTTTTTGTTACAATGTCTATAAATGCTTCATCAGAAATATACCATGTGTTAAATCTTGTTTTCAAATTAAAATCACATGAACAGAATCCCACAAGGATCCCTACCTACTGGTAGGCATGAAAGGAAAATAGGCAACCATGTGTAGACAGTACATTAGAAGAGCCTGCTGGATCAGGCCAAAGGCACATTTTGTCCAGCATTCTGTTCTCACAGTAGCTAATCAGATGCCTTTGGGAACCCCACAAGTAGGGCATGAGTGCATCAGAACTCTCCCCACTCATGTTCCCCAGCAGTTGATTATCAGAGGCAGACCAGATCTGATACCGGAGACCATATACAGCCATAATAATTGATAGCCATTGATATTTTCCATGAATTTGTCTAGTCTCCTTTTAAAGCCATCCAAATTGATGGCTACACCATCTTGTAGTAGCAAATTCAATTGTTTAACTGTGTGAAGAAATACTTTATTTTGTCTGTCCTGAATCCTGCAACATTTTGCTTTGTTGGCTAGCCCCAGGTTCTAGTATTATGCAAGAGAGAGCTTCCAAATATTTACTTTAATGTTTCTTATGTAACTAACCTGGCCTAATGCTATTGTGACTTTTTCTAGTCTTTCTGCTATTTGAGTATAATTAAGCCATAAATCCAATGGAACCTAGAGTGTGAATGTGTGAGAGTGATTTCCTTGTTACAGGGAAGGAAGAGAGTGCTGTGGGAGTGAGAAGCAACTGGAGTGAGTAATCACTATAACATAACAGCAGCCAAAGCAAGTCTGGGCCTCGCTAACAGGCAATATACAACACCGTGCAATGTAATATCAGCCACCCTGGAGAGAGCCAAGGGCCTATTTGCCAGATAAGAAGGAAGTATAACTTTTCTATTGGTTCTGCCAGTGGCAACATGGTTTATGGTTTTATGGTCTGTCTCTCTGTCCATGTGACAGTCTAGTGTAGTGAAAATGTGTGGTGACCTTTGAGGTATAAAAACACCCCAAAACTAAAGCAAGTCAGAGATTCACAGCAGACTCTTGAGGCAGGCATGCGGACACCCAGAGGCACTGGTCTCTCATCAACACATTACACTTGAACCAGCCACCCAGGTTGTGCATTTGTAAGTATGAACGCATGTTAGGTGACTTTATTCATAATTTGAGCATATTGCGGGGTTAAGAGCACTAACTGCTATATTCTGATTAATAAAGCTTCAAATTTTTACATTACAGTGGTACCTCGGGTTAAGAACTTAATTCATTCTGGAGGTCCGTTCTTAACCTGAAACTGTTCTTAACCTGAGGTACCACTTTAGCTAATGGGGCCTCCCGCTGCTGCTGTGCCGCCAGAGCACGATTTCTGTTCTCATCCTGAAGCAAAGTTCTTAACCTGAGGTACTATTTCTGGGTTAGTGGAGTCTGTAACCTGAAGTGTCTGTAACCCGAGGTACCACTGTAGAGTGTTTTTCGACTCCACCTTGCCCTGTGCTGATCAGCCAGAGCTCAGCCAGTTTGATAAACAGATTGCACCAGGAACCATGCCTATAAAAGGGCCACACGTTTTTAAAAGAAGTTTCTAGCTCTCCTGGAAGGAAGGTTATGAAGCAAAACATGCATGTACAGTGGTACCTCGCAAGACGAATGCCTCGCAAGACAAAAAACTCGCTAGACGAAAGGTTTTTCCGTTTTCGAGTTGCCTCGCAAGACGAATTTCCCTATGGGCTTGCTTCGCAAGACGAAAACGTCTCGCGACTTTGTTTCCTTTGTCTAAATAATAATTCGCAAGACGAAAAATTCGCTAGACGACAAAACTTGCGGAACGAATTAATTTTGTCTTGCGGGGCACCACTGTACAAAGGTGTGTAGGTATCTCAATTCGGGGGGAAAGAAACTATCAGCTACCTATCACCCAAAGGGACTTCACACCCCACCGCTTGCATTAAGACTTAGCACAGGTAAGTATTTTCATATGTGCATGCCAACTGATAATGGGGAGGTGGAGGCGTGCCCTGGAACAGCCCATGTGACCTGAAAAGCACCACCCACTTTTCATGCACCTCCCACTCTAAACGTTGCCATGGGCCATGGAATTGCGCAATGAATACAGTCCAATATTCATTGGCATGTAGAAACAGAGCAGCAATTCCACTCTCAACAAAAACAACACTGCAATGCCGAGGCAGGGGAGGGAAGGGTTCCAATGTGGTTGGGCCCATTATGTTGAACCTGATACCGCATCATGCAGCAGAGCTGAGAAGCAAAGGATACCCTTTATCTCCGCTTGGAGAAGCTTGGTGGACTCACACTGGCTGCATATTGGCTTTTCTGCTACAACAAACAGAAGGTTGGTGCGAGCAAGCCTTTGTGCATGGAATAGCCTAGGGAAGAAAAAGAAAAGGGCGTGGGGAAAGGAGGAAGTGCTGCTATCATGCTGATTTAGTACTATTTCTATTTACTGCAGATTATTACAACAATTCAGCTCATAAAATAAAGGCTAAAGTTACAGTTGGCCTTATGGCAAAACTACACATGCCCAAATACAAAATATATGCAAACTGCATCAGATAAGAGCTGTATGTGTGTGCAATTTGCCACTTTTTACCTTTCTAAATGCATGCAGCTGGCAGTGGAAGAAGGATCAGGCCCCACCCACTCTTGTGTATTTGGAAGGAAAACATGACTAATAATAAAGGAATACACAATTTACTTTTGGTCATGATTATGCTTGCTTCTTTATCTAGGCATTATCTATGATATGCATTTAGGTCCAAAATACAGCTTATTTTAAATGTGTTCTCACACCTAATGTGACTGCTTATTTTATTTAAACAATTAGTCACCACAGGGTAGGGGAGAGACCAAGACTGTAGGGAAAGGATTTAACCTTTTCCTCCCCCACTGCAGTCCTGATGAACGCCCCCCAACTCCAGCTCCTATTTCCAGTTGCTGTCAGCCGGAGCTTCCCTCACAATGTAAACAACACTTTTGGAATGGGGTGATTTTCATCAGAATGGTGGTTTGTGTGTATATGAGGGTAAAAACTCCTCACATTGGCCTGTCATGGTCCTGCTCCTGATTGCCCCCAAGCCTCCTGTGGCATCTACTTTTGCTTTTAAAATAATGCATTTGACACAATGTTTTGTTTGGTTTAATATTCTAATTGGCTTAGTATTCATTCTGTCTGCCTAGGGCAACCAGATAACTGGAATTCTTTGAGCAGGGCAGCTAGGAATCTGTCCACCTTCGCCAAACTTCAACTCCTAGGATTTTATTTTTTTAGCGCCATGATAGTTAAAACTGTATAAAAATGATATCAATCTGTAGTGTAGATACACCCACCCCGCAATTCAGACCAATATTGCCTGTTCCCGGAAAGCAATCTATCTGCATAATTCCACCAGGATCTCTTGTATCTTAGCCAAATACCACTCACTGCCCTTACTAGTTTCGATACTGCTAATTCTGGTGATCAATTTTAACCCTACTTTAAAAGAGACCTGAGCCAGAAGGGATTACCACCTTCTAGGGACCAACAGTTTTGATCAGCTAGTATGAATGTTTATAGCAGGGACATCTCCCACTGACCTGGAGCAATTTCCACAGTCAATGATGGTGTTGTAGGTGTAGTCAACTGTGCTAAAATAGTATTGGGTCTGCTTCATGATGCAGCTGGTCTCCTTGGATTCCATGCTGTCAGCTGCGACATCCTCTGTTCGGACACACAATACATACAGTTGGAAATAATGGAAGTGGCAAACATTTATCCTTCCTGAATCATCTAAATTAGCTGTTGCGTGGCGAGTTCCCGCCCCCCACCAGGATAAATAAAGACATGAGACACCATAGTTTAAGGTTAAATGGGCGAATTAGGCCACAACTTTATTGAATTCAGGAATGAGAGGCATTGGCTTAGGCATTGGTCCTAACGACTATCCGGCTCCAGCCCACTTGCTGGAGACACGGGGAAGGGTTAACACTATATCGGGGGAGTCTCCCGCCGAGGCACGTCGACTAGGAGCTCCCCCGGGTCACCGCTCTGGGGCGTGCCTTTGGCCCTCACCTCCATAGGCTTCGGAAAGGGCCACGCCCCCCGGAATCCTTTAACGGACCACCCTTCTCTCACTGGGGGGAGGTGATGGCGTTCCTCCCCCCCCACATCCTCTTAACCCCTTCTTACCAATGCCTACCGCCAATGCCGAAAAGTTGTGACGAGTTGCTACGAGGTAGGCGAAAAACCAAATGGCTGAAATTGCCAATTGGGAAAAATTCCTACCATGCCCCTTGCGGCGACAGACCGAAGTCCATAGCAAAGTCAGAGACCTACCTAAAGCCTACCTAAAGGGAGGGAGGGTGGGAAAACGTGAGGGCTAGCCGGCGAAAAGAGGGCGAGCCCCCTCTGCGTCGGCCCTAAATAGGGCAGGTCACGGCCGGGATTCCCCTGCTCTCGCGGGGGCTGAAACAAGCCACCGCTCACGTGGGGGGGTGGGCGTGAAGCCCGCAACCCCACCTCCTGGGCAGGCCGGAAGTGGCTTTCTCCTTTAATGTTGTGTCTAAGGGCTTTAACCACACATTATGTTAATTATAGGGCTTGCAGACATGTCAGCTGATTAAAAAAAAATCCTAAATGCAGTTCCCACCAATTTCCATGGGAATAGCAGCACCTGGGGAGGGGTTTTTTAACCTGTGTGTAAATTATAGGTATGGCACCTGCGCAGTGGTGGCTGGTGACATTTTGACTTGGTAGGGCTACAGTTTTTGACCTTGCTGTTTTCATCACAATAGGAATTGCACAACACTTATTTAGAAAAGCGTGCCATTACACGTGGGCAGAATGCCATTGTCTCCTCCTTTCTAAAAACACACAAATCAATTATTCTCTGCACATCTATGGACAGGGAAAAAGCTCCCATGTAACAGGACCCAAGTATGGTTTTCAGAGAAGATCAACTCCATTACCTCTTATTTAGAAATTAAGCCATATCACATGACCCAAGTTTTTGCATTCATGTAATGTTTACACTCTACACACCTGTTGCAAAACACCCACCCCAATCACACAAAAACTTTTTAAATGTGAGGAAAACTGCTGTCTTCCAGCATGCATAGCTTCAGTCCGAGCTTGTATGAACCACTATTGTAGGTTAGTCCATACAAGAATTGCTGAAACAGAGACCTTATAGAAGAAAAAGAAAAGAAAAGAAAAGTCAAATAATGAAAATTATGTTTGATAATCCAGCTCAGGCTAAGATGGCATCAATTTCTGTCATGGGGAAAAACAAATCGAAGTACAGTGGGAAAGTACAGATATTTGTAATAGTTTTGCAACCATTCTACAGACCACCTAAATGGGTTTTGCCTTAGATCTTTGCAGAACTTGTTGAAATGTTGACAACCCTAGAACTATTCTACCAGATACTTCTTGATGTGTGTTCTCTCACTGTTATGTGCAGTGCAGAGTGGCCCAATGTGTGACATTCCTATCCTGCTGTAAGAGCTTATCCAGTAAAGGGCAAAAGAAAGGCTTACCATGCAGCTGCTGAGGTCCACCAGGCCAGGTTCAGGAAATCTGCCATTGTTGGCTGGACATAAAGGGATAAGGGAAATGTGGTTGTTAACAGAAAAATACCACTGTTAGCTCAAGCTCAATGTGCTGTAGCAGCTTTTCACATGCTAAGGATCAAACACGAAGCCCAGAGGCAGGATTCTGTCATGTTTTGAAAAACCCAACCTTTTGACCACATTTATCTGCATCTAATGGTGCTTTGCCACTGATAGAGAATACGCAAATAATTCTACAGAGGGACCCATTGGTTCATGGTGCAGAGAAGACAAGGTTCACAAAGAGCCAGAGCAGCCCTACTCATGAGCACTGCAAGCACACCCAGGCATGCAAAATTTGTGATTAGATGGCCTTGCCTGGCATCACTTTTCTCATAATACAATTTTTGAGATAACTAGCACTGATTTCACTAGTACTAGACAAAGATCAGGGGCTTGGAAACATCTCAGTGACTCATTGTGGTTAGTAAACTATCAGACCTCTCTTGTGGCCCATAAATAGAAGAAAATGAAAAGACTTTACAAGAAGAAATGGTGACGAATTACCAATTTAAAACAACTCAATCTGCACTCTGATGCAACTGTACAAAACGTATGGGAAAAAGAAGGGCAAAGTGTTGCTAGATAGCAGGTAGACATTGTTTGGATTATCCACGCTCTGTATCACTGACAGACCAAGGCCAGTTCTTACCTTTGAGCCACCGTGTGGGAAGTTGCTTGAAAGACCACGATGTGATGGCTCTAATATGCAAAAGCTACTCTCTCCAGTTCACCCACCATGTGTGGAGAATATTTAAGCGACCACCAATTACAATGTAGGCTACAATTTTTGTGTGTGTGTGTGTGTGTGTGTGTGTGTGTGTGTGTGTATACCTCCCAAATTTCAGCCCTATTTTGTTTCCTTAGCAGTGGCCTGCAAAATCTCTTTGGAATTCCTGGTATCAGCCATATTTCAGTACTCACACAAAATTCTTGTTTATACACCAATGTATCACAAACAGTAATGTTCACCTAATTTAAAAATTCAACAATCCTCATCCTTCCTAAACACTGCATTGATACAGCTGACAATTCTTCTCTTTGCCTTAAGTATACTGTGGTTACTGTGCTTACATAATTCCACCTGTAAAGCAAATCCCCACTTGTATGCACAATGCTGAAACCTTCAGGTAAGTCTTCACGGCATGGGAGCCCCCACTCACCACGTACACCCCACGTGGAGCGCCTCCCGTATTGCTCGGAGGTTCTGGAGCGCAGACAGACTGGAAGTCGTAGGATTCTTTCCGTGTGAAGAACGAGTTGTTGTAGAGAGCAGACATCAAGTGAGCGTCGACCTCACTGAAGAACTTCCCTACCTGGAAAAGGGAAAAAAAGGATGAAATAATTCGTTTAAGCTGTATCCAGCTGATTATGCATTTTCCAACCATGGGTGCTTCCAGACAGGGACCTTTTATTGCAGATGGGTAATGATCAGATTTTTCTGTGTGCAAATTTGGTGCTTCAGCTTCCATGCATTCCTCCCCGCCCCCCATCACTATATTTGTTAGTATTGCTCTCCAAACCAGTGGGCAGAGCTTGATGGAATGCATCTCAGCCGTGTGGTTTTTTGTCCTTCCTCTTAATCATTCCTCCCTCACCTCCACTGTCTTTCCCACCGCGTATCTCTATATGTGTATGTGTTTATACCAAGTCACCATGCTTGACAATGGGAGAAATGGAAATTTATGCTTTCCTTGGGAAGGACAATGCCTACTTCTATTTGGTTTTTTTTCTTTTTCTTTTTAAATGGAGGTAGAACATAGCCATTGTGGCTATTAGCCATTGAAATCTGGATTAAATGTAAAAAAAGTATTGGCTGGCATTTCAATAATGTGTATGGCATTGGTTGGGTGCTGCAAAAATACTTGTGAGCATTAGCAGTAATGCTACCAGTCCAATAGAAATGGGAGCAATGTATAAACTCTGCTAAACATGTAGGAAGCTTCTGAACATGCATGTTGGCAACTGGGGTCCTCCATGTGTCAATTGTCTGATATCATAATGATGTTAGAGGACCCAAAGTAATTACTCCCCTTTGTGGGTTTGCTTTGAGCCACTTGCATTCAAGCTAGTGATACAAAGGAATATGAGCTGATCAGTGCTTATAGCAGATCCCAGGGATTGGCTGCCCTATGGTACCCCCAGCAAGGAATTCTGTAGTGCAACTGATTTCAGTGGGCTTGTTAGCAAGCATTCCTTTACCTAGCGGCTGGTGCTGACAACAAGCCTTGCTTGCCAAACTCTACATTGTTCATATATGCATTTCTATCTGCCCCACACCTTACGTTGCACATGACATTGGGTGTGTGACAAGTAGGTGTGATTTGGAGGAAACGATGAGCTAAATTGTTACCCTTGTTGGGCCTAATTTGGCCTGTGGACTGGAGGTTCTCTACCCCTGCTATAGAAAAAGCACAGCTTACCTGGAAACCAGTAATCCTCCTGGTTGGAAAGTACCAGAAAACCCCCATCATCGATGAGAACACAAAGGAGGTCCTGAAAGATTGAACAATACTTTGTGTTTTGCAATGGATTCTAAATTCTGGTTTAAACATTAGTCTACATGCCTGATTGTCTCTATAATGAGCAAAGGCAGCCGTAACTGAGCATTCCTTGTCATTCTATAAACATTTATGGTGCTCGCATGTGTTTAAGGATCAGGGTAGTCTAAGAGCAAGGGAATAAAGGTGGTGGAAACAAAGCTTGGTATGTGTATACACACACACGTGCACAGGGCCCCCTGTTTTGCCATCTGAGGCAAGATCTTGTCAAACTGATGGCACTGATGGCACGATTTATCCACTGGAGGTGGTGCCCATGAGGGTGTTGACTCTTTGGCTTATGCCACCCAAGGCGACTGCTTCACCCCACATCAGGATTTCTGACAGTTTTCTAGTTTAGGAAGCAGCTAAGGATACACTACAATAAGCAGTAAGAGTCGCTATGTAACAATCAGCAAAAAGGCCCAGTTATTTTCCATCTGTTTCCTCCATGTTTACCTTGTAATTAGCCTCACAGTCCATCTCGCAGCCTGTGGAGGGGTCACACTGGAAATGAAAGAAGAAAGGCAGTGACACCAAGAGAATTTGAAACACATCTCAAAACTGAATTACTTAAATCCCACATCCACACCCTTCCTAATCACAAGAGGAACAGGTTCTACAGTCAGAAGGGAATTGTGAGGAAATGAGAATAGAGACAGCTTTGGCAACATTTATCTATACTCTGGTAATGTTTAGATTGCTGCAGTGTGCTGAACGTGGGGAATTATGATGACTGTCCAGTCGGAGTAAAATGGAGTGTAATAATCGATTCTCACAGATCTGCTTCTGTCCATCCAAGGTTAAACACAGGGCAGGGGAGGAGGGCGGGGAAGAAGGGTGCCAGACCAGTTTTGCAGGATTGAAGCCACTCCTGCTGAGAACAGTAATAACTGCGCATGGATTGTTGCATAGTGGGAGAAAATGTAACTAGTAAAAAAGTCGTCTTAAAAGTGGTTTAAAAATCGTTCTAAGGAATAGAAGTGAAACGTGCCAGCAAGAAGCAGCAGCAGCAGCAGAAAAAAACACTAACATGGACTGGCAACGGGATTCACTGCTTGGACTATACCTTGGTGGTCTTCACTTGTTTTCAGGCACAATTCAGTGTGCTGTCTTGTCTTTGTCCTACAAAGCTCTAGATGACTTTAGGTCAGTAGATCTGACAGACCACCATTTCTCATAAGAACCTTGCTGTTCTTTAACTTCCTATGAGACGCCTCTTTTGGGAGCCTCACCTTTTAGAAACTAGGCTGGTAGTTACCAGAAATGTCTTTGTTTTATTGGTGGGCCCTTCTTTATGGAATATCTTCCCCAGATATATTAAAGTGTCTCTAATTTTAGCATCTTAATGTTTTAAGCATGCAGGATCCTCAAAATGAACTGGAGGGGCAAAGAAGTGTTATGAAGTAGGATGATAAACCACCTCTTTCGGGAACAGTAAGACAGATACATAGATATAGATATAGATATAGATATAGATATAGATATAGATATAGATATAGATATATAACCTCTGGGCAGTGCTTTTTTCCTGGGGGGATGCAGGGGAATGCATACCCCTAAATATTTTGTGAATCTTTGTTCTTTTGTCCATTAACTGTATTTATTTTTCCTGATTTAAATTATAAAATGGTGATTTTCTTGAGTCAAAATGAGAGTACCCCTAAACATTTTTTTAAAAGAAAAAAAGCACTGCCTCTGGGGGTTCATTCACTGTTGCCAGAGGGAACCTGGCATGTCAGTGGCGAGGGTGACTGCTCTGCTGCAGTGTTAGAACAGCACTGGGGATGCAAAGTGGACTTGCAAGTGCTCCTCAGCTCCAACCATGTTATCTACAAAATGCAAAATCCCAGATTGTTTTCCAGGAGGGTATTTTTCACCACCTACTCTTCGTGTCCCCAGCTGATCCCTTTCTGTTCGGTTACTTGCAAGGACTTTAAATTTTTCTGCCCATGCCTCCAGGTCAAGTTTCACTCCAACCACTGGAAAGGGAAAACAAAAGAGATATTTAGGTTAGAAAAATGTTGTCTTCTTTTTTTTGTCTAAACACCTGGGCTGCATAGACACTACACATTTAAAGTTCATGGCTCCCCCTAAAGAACCATAGGAACCGTAGTTTAGCTGGCACAGAGCTATAGTTCCCAGGATTATTTGGCGGAAGCCATGTACTTCAAATGAATGGTGTGCATCTAACTCAGCTGTTCTGTTGTTTCTTATTAAGTACTGCATTTTTCCTAAAACCAGCTTCATTCAGAACTGAGAAACAAAAACTACTTAGCTGCTAACGTGTACAAAGCAACTGTGACAGCATGAAGGATTACACAAAGGCCACATGAGCCTTCAGCCCAGTGGAGGGGTTTGTCAACCCAATAGCCCAAAGAAATCCAAGTGTTTTGCAGCCTGACTGAAGACTATGAGCTGGTATTTATGTAGACTGCTAGAGAGGCTGTGGAAGGCTTCATAGCTGCAACTGATGTAGACCAGAAGGCCTGAAGACAGGAGAGACATTTCAGAGACAAAGATACAGGCAAACGCCCCGTCATTCTTACCTGCTGGTTTCAGGTGCCTCTCACCAAAGTTGAGCTCAACTGCTGTGCTGACAAGGATCCCAACTGTGTTGTTTTCCAGTTCCAGCCCTCGGTAGTTGACTATAGGGGGAAGAAGAAGAAAAAGGACCTGCCAGTCTGTGGATGGCACAGGCAGCATAACTGCTGCAAAGCATTCTCTGGCTTGGGTGGCAATGCTTTATGGTTCCATGCAGGGCTGACTTCCTGCCAGTGCCCTCTCCCTGCTTCCTTGTGACAAAATGAAAGGCTGTGCCTTACTTTTTTATTTTATTAACATTCTAATTAGTAATCTATGACGAGAACACTTTTCTGCTTAAGCAATTACCCACTGCATATAATATGAAATGGTAGCCACAGCATATGCAGCAAGCAGTGAACCGCTTTATTACATTATCCCTTGTCCTCAGTGGAGTTTGTGAATGCAAAGTGGCAGGTCCCTTATGGTGCAAGAAACCTCAGCTCAGAAGCTATAAATTATGGACTTGGAGGCATGATGGGGTTCTTGCCTGTCATTTATTACAGAGCTTCAGGAACCGTGGCTTGATCAAGACTATGTAAATACTACACATTACTATCACTGTCCTTGTAGTAAGCCTTTAAGCAGAATTTATTGCCTCACACCCTGCAGCCAGATGTCTGATGCCAATTCCTGTAGTTCCATGCTTATAAAGGCTATCAAAGCTGAGGGCAGGGCAAACCAGTCCCACCCACTTGGAGCACTGTGTAGGGCATACTTACAATCCTTGTAAGGGGTCTTAAAGATGTGGCCTTTGTTATCCAGGCTTCTCCGATAGAAACTGGCGTTGAAGGGCTCCCGGTCTTCTTCCCAGTCTTCAGCAGCTCTTTAATAAAATCAACCAGCCCCACAGAATGTCACAAGCTTTTGGCAGAGATTTCATTTTCCATATAGCCGCAAATAAAATATTGGCCTTTTTAAAAAACCCATCAATAATATGTACTATGAAGATTTATACTTTCACAACCAGTCTTAGAGACAGGGAGGTGATAGCTGAGAAAGTCCAAATGTTCATTATACATACATATACACAGAATTGTAGAGATGGATCATCATATGTAAACAAATAATATATTTCACCTCTGAAATATAGGATGGTATTGAGCCATAAATGTTCTTTTATTAAGACTACCAGCTATTTACTGTGGCTGTGGTACAGTTTTCATTTTGCACAGAGACAAGTGCTTGGCAAACCCACCCTTTTTGCAGCCCCAGGCAAACAGGATCAGGAAGTCTACCAGGCCCCTTTCAAGCTGCATTTGGTTTAGTGAATCACAAGTTACGTGGGCACAATTCATTGTCTACTGTCAGCCTTTAAAGATAATTACACGCTTTCAGAAACCTCTAAAACCACAAGGGTCACAGAATGATTAAAACTTAATAGTTGGCAGCCTACATTCCTTTGAGCATCAAGGGCACCTGAACCCAGTAAATTGCTACTAATAATTTTCCCCTGAAGGAGGTAGTTGGGAATACAAATCTATTTTGTCGTCAGGAAAAGTGTTGTGAGGGTCTTATTAACCAGATGTGTCCTTCAGTGACACAGGCTGCAAAGTTGTTAGTGGGTACACTTTGACATTACCTTTTGCTCCTTGTGCTAAAAAGAAGGTCATTCAACACCTTAAAAGAACATATCAAGGAATGGATTTGCTGGATGCCCAAAGTAATGTGGTACCATTAGTATTCTGTCTACCTCAACAGTAATTTTTGGAAACCTAACAATGCCAACAGTTATGGCTTTTCCCTTAACCCTCCAGCCCAAGGAGCCTTCATAAGGGAGCTGTTTCCAGAGGAAGAACTATGAGGGGAGAGAGACTCTGTTCGCCGGGGGGGGGGGGCTGGTTTCACCTGTGTGGCTCCACCTTCAGCCGAAGGAACCTTCAAAAGGGAGTTGCTGCCATGGGCATTATGCGTTTGTGTATTTTAATAAGATGAACAGAGGGTGTGGAGTGTCTGCGTGCATGAACTTCACAGCGCTTAGTTCATCTTTTGGTTGCTATTTTGTTAATGTTGTTAATAGTGTTTTATGGATTATAAGTGCTGCATTGATTTGTTAATCCTATGACTTTTGCTTTAATTGTGATGTTTAGCTTATTTTTTAGTTTCTTGATTTGTTAACAGTGTTTTATAGATTATAACTGTTTCACTGTAAATTTGTTAATTATTCGGTATGATTTATGCTGTATTTGTGATGTTTTGTTATTGTTTGAAGGCTGCCTTGGGATTCAGTTGAATTAAAAATGACATAGAAATACTGTATAATCAATCATATCAAAATCAAATCAATTCGGATGTTAGAAATGTTTAAGAGGACAAGTGCAATAAAATGTACATAAAATACTTCTAAAATATTTTTTTCAGTGTAGCTTGACAGAGATAAAAATGCATAAAACATGTTTCATATAGATATGACAACACATGAACATTTGAACCCTTAAGGAAGTAATTAAATTGTTGCATTAGTTTCACTGGGACTTGGGCTGCAATGTAACTGTAGTTACCTGGGAGTAAGCTTCACTTCAGTCAACAGGACTTACTTCTGAGTAGATGTGGTTAGGAGTGTATCCTTAATCATTACTAACTCTAGATTATGGTAGATTGGGGCCACTAAATGCTAAACACATTCTCTTCAGCTACAGATGATACGACAAACACTTGTCACTTACTTGTTAGGGAAGACGCGGGTGATACCACCATCTGTGGCTACAAACACAGCTAAGAGGCTATACCTATAGAAAGGCAGAGATAGAAAGTTACAACCTCAAGCAATATGCCAAAGTTCGGCTTCTCACCAATTTGTCTTTGCACTGCACCTTTAGCCTATGTGTTGATTATTATAACTGTGGTAGGTATGGTTTGTGTTTTCCTCCCTGTGTTTTCATTTTGTATTATCTTCAGTGCATTTTTACAAGAAAATATGGTGCCGGTACTCACCATGAAGTTGTTATATTTGGAAAAAAAAAGGTGTCCATACCCTTGAGTACCCCCAGAAAAAAGCACCAATCATATTGTATGTTTATGTTGTGAACCTCCCTGAGATCTCCAGGTGAAGGGCGGTATAGAAAATTAATAAATAATAAAAGGGTATGTGTGCATTTAGGTTAGTATTGCTCCCTGGGAATGGGAGTGGACAAACTTTTGAAAGTGAAAAACTTTTACCTGATTTTATACTGAACTGAAAGAACCTCTAAATGGGCAAGTTACCATGTAGTTTTAAGTTGTGACTTGCAGTTTAGCTTGGATAAATTTTTAACTTGTCTTCAACTTTAACTGGTTTTAAATTTACCCTCTAGCTTTGATAAACTAAGCTAGTTTTCACTGGTTTTATACTGAATGGAAAGCTGAATCTTTCAGCTGAGGCTTTTCCCACTTAAAACCTCACCTAGCCCTCTTAACGCAGGAAGACTTAAGTCCACTTTAAGCTTGTTCTTAAAGCTAATCCTATTTTCAAAAATCTAAGATTACTAGGTCTGTATCGTGTATCGTGTAGAGTGGCGCTGTGGGTAAAAGCCTCAGCGCCTAGGGCTTGCCGATCAAAAGGTCGGCGGTTCGAATCCCCGCGGTGGGGTGCGCTCCCGCTGCTCGGTCCCAGCGCCTGCCAACCTAGCAGTTCGAAAGCCCCCCGGGTGCAAGTAGATAAATAGGGACCGCTTACTAGCGGGAAGGTAAATGGCGTTCCGTGTGCTGTGCTGGCTCGCCAGATGCAGCTTTGTCACGCTGGCCACGTGACCCGGAAGTGTCTTCGGACAGCGCTGGCCCCCGGCCTATAGAGTGAGATGGGCGCACAACCCTAGAGTCTGTCAAGACTGGCCCGTACGGGCAGGGTTACCTTTACCTTTACCTTTATCGTGTAGAGTTATATATTAGTTGGGTTTCCTTTTATCCCTTCTCCAGAACTGACCAATTGTATAGGCCTGCTAGCTTCTCAGAAGAGAGTTTCAGGGTGAACACTGCCATATATCTACTTTCTTCCCGGCTGGAAAATACTCTTGTTGGGGCACCAAAATGCTCCCAGTGTCTGAAAGAGGAATGAAATGAAATTGTATTTACGTGTTAAGGTCTTGGTCCTTCCACACTCTTTCCACCAGCTGTTGGGTGATTCCTGTGTCCAGGATGAGGTTGTGAAGGAGGAAGTTATCACCTTGAAAGAGAAAGAGAGAAATGTTTCCAATCCAGAGTCTTGCTTATTGAATATCCGCTGAGGAGGGCTCCACTCCATTTTAAAGTACGATGGTGAAGAATCCTCTTTGCCTTCTACTCTTGCTTGCCTTTTCCCTCTCTCCTTGCATAGCCACCTTTTCACTTGTTTCAGCAGCAACTTAAACTGCATCGGAAAACAAGGATACTCCAAGGTGTGCAGTGGACCCTTTCAATGCTCACTGGTTAGAATGCCCTGCAGAGGTTGCTGTGTGATCCTTATAACTTGATTAGTTGGCTATGTATATTAAGTTATATATGTTCACAAAAGTAATAAACCTTAGAGTACATGACCAGCTCTACTAGTGCATCCCAGTACTTTCTAGTGTTATGCTAGTTTTGCAATGTTGTCAATGACTCTCCTCTCAATCCTGGAAGTCCTACCAACTCTGCTGGTAACCTGTTGCACCTTGGCTTCTCCAGCTCTGCTGATGTCTCTCAAGTTAGAACTCTCTTACCTAAGTTGTCCTGGTAGGACAGGCAGCCTCTGGCATAATTCTCCACATTACTGCTGCCACCACATGGTAGGTCTGTGTCCCCATTTACTTGACTTAATAGAGGTGGGCACCACTGGCAGAGAAAGTCTAGGTAATGTATGATGGGGAACCTGCGGGTCCTTCAAATTACAGCTCCCATAATCCTTGAGCATTTCTGAGGCTGATGGGAGTTGAAGTCCAACAAACATCTGCGGGGCGACAGTTTTCCCATCCTCCACTCCATCCTAGAGCATCTCTTAGCGCTGCTATTATGCAGGGCACATTTCCTTCCCAGTTGTTTGCTCTGTGCATTGCCCTATGGGAAAATACTCTGAGCCTTTCCTGGCCCTCTTTTGTTTCATGCGATTGCCACAGATGTCCGCCAGCTAAGCCACATAGTTCTCTGCCATGTGGGCATGGACTTTGAGACTGCTTCTATTTCTCAGTCACGCTGAGTACAGCAAAGAAACAAAAGCTTAAATGTGGCATTTCAATTATAGGAAGGATTGGAAGGGGACTTCTAGAGGTTGTTGTCACCAAACTAAGGATACTTTAGGTGAAAGACTTAAAAATAAATAAATTCATACACAGAGGGGAGTGATAGTCCATAGGCTTCTTACCTTATTTTCAGTGCTGAATTGCGTTATCACTAGAAAATTTAACTGATGTTTAATAGCAGGCTGTTTTCTTGCAATGCAATCTCACTGTTTTTATGCTATCCCTGGAAATGGATTTGTCTGCCTTGGTTGGGGATTTGTCTCAGGAACAGACATGAGGTACTTTTGTGAAATGTGTGCTACTAACATTAGAATCAGAGAGCACCAGCCTTATATGGAATATGATCTGGTTCAAACCAGATCACAACTAGAGTACCTGCTGATGGTCACATTTATGCTCGACAAACTGCATTACCTAGTGACTGTGCTTGCAATCTGAGACACCCTTTCCTGGGAATAAGCCCCATATAATTCAATGGAGTTTGCTTCCAAGTGGATATGCCCAGTATTTCATTGTGAACTTACGGGTTTCATTCATCATTTGCATCCTCCTTTCATGACACCAGAGAACTGATACTACAACCTTCGCCAGAGAATAGTAACCCACCCCAGTTCTTTCTTCATAGGGTGCACTCTATCTAAATCAGGTGTGGGGAAAACTTTGCCCCTCCAGGTGTTGCTGAATTACTGCTCCCATGTTCCCTGGACATTGGCCATTCTTGCTAGGGCTGATGGGAGTTGTGGTTCAGCAACATCTGGAGAGCCAAATGTCCCCCCACTCTTGATCCAAATAATTTTTATTTTTTTGGCAAACATAAACTTTGCTCCATTTTTAAAAAACAACAACATTTAAATGTATATCTTTTAAAGCAGAAGCACACTTTTGCTTCTGGGTTTTTCCTTGGTTCTCTCACCCAAACAGTGCTGAGTGTTTCTTGAGAGAAGGCTGAGTCTCCACTGCATGCCCCGGGGGTACTTACATTGCTTGGAGTCAGGCGTCACCTTTTCCATGAGGGCGATAAAGTTTTCCAGGAATTCAGTGTTGTTATCCGACTGGCTGAGGTCTTTGCAATATTCTCTGGGATTACGATGAAAAGATTTGTCGTTTGGAAGGATGAAAAAGTTACTGTCAGTTTTCTTCCTCTCAGAACTGCTATAATCATGACTTTGTGTGCAACGTAGGTGAGGCTGTTACCCAGTCATGTTGCTGTTGTGCCTAAGAGAACACTTTCAATACTGTCTGCATACATGTTTGAGATAGGAGTGGTGGGGGATTCCTGTAAAGATATTTGTCCTGTCCATGAGCAAGGCTGTGTGAGACATCAGTACTTGTGTGCACTTGAAATCTATTTGTACAAATGTATTTAAACGTGGGGATGTGAGGAGGAGGAAGTAAGTGTGGAAAAGGATACGTGTAAAAACCCAAAATATCTTAAAAACAGATCTTCATATCGAAGATACTCATACGCTGTTCTGTATGACTTGGGCTCAATTTGGAACACAAGTGGATACAGATTGTAATCATTATTTATCTCCTGCCTTTCCCCCCAAGTGGCTTACAGATAAATTAGATGGCACTGTGCTCAATAAAGGTGGCATTTGGGTTTCCCACACTGCTATTATAGTGCCTCTCAAGAATATTAGAAGACTATTAAATAATGTGGGGCTGATCTTTGAAGGAATAGTAGGCAGTCTGGGGAATTTAATGACCATATAAAAATCTGTGGCATTCACTCATTCCTGTTATTGACTGATGCCACCCATCACCATCTGAAACAAGAAGAACTCTATGAATACTGTGACTGCTTCTCTTCTGGATTTGTGTAGCAATTGTGCTGCTATTCTGAGAATTCAGTTGTTTAATTAAATTCCTTTAATTCCCCAACCCGGTGCCCTCCATGCTGGCTGGGGCTGTTGGGAGTTGTAGTCTAAAACCTTTGGAGGGTTTCAGGTTGGAGGAGGTTGCTGTAGGGAAGGTAGCTTAATTAACCATGATACTCGCTTGAACTCCTTTAGGTTTAGAAAGACTGTGGCAAAAGAAGGCCTTCTTTCCTTCAAGCTCATCTATTATTGTGAAGTTCCAGAACTGTCCTTTATTCTGATTTTCAATATGGCCTCTACAGAAGCTTTACAGCTCTCGTAAGAAAAAAAAAGCTTCTTTTATAAACAGATTTTATAAACAGGTACTGTTCGACAAAAATGGAAACTTTGGTAATCAGGATGGTTATAGTTTTATATACAGCTTTGGAAAACGCGTATGGGGGACTGCAGTTTCACCTGTGCAGTTCTAGCAATAGGTTTTCTTCTTATCCATCATTTTATCTACATTTGGTCACAGCTTCATTTAACTCTGGTTTCTTTGGTCTCTTTTTAAACACAGCTAAATAAATATGACTCCTTCATGTATGTAATGAGATCCCACAGTGGGAAACTTAGGATTCAAAGGTGATACAACTAATGCCTCTATTAATCCTAGTGGCATTTCCAGTAGTAGCAGCTCTCTCTAGAGCAGTGGTGGGCAACCTTTTTAAGGTCAAGGGCTACATAAGAGTCTAGATGGAAGATGAAGTCCTCTGGCTGTAAAGCACATAGCTCCCTATGAAGCCACAATACTGGATAATGATGTCTGATTGTATTCATACCACACTGGCTTCCATTACAAGCTAATGCAATTTAGGTTTCTGGGATACAGGCATTATGAATGATACAACACTGTAGTCAAAGAAGCATGACTTTTTTATGTCTTTGAGAATAATATTCCTGCCTCCTAAATGAAACTAACTCTGACTAGAGATGGGCGAATGTGTCAATTTCAGTTTCTCATTTTTCAAATCTTGAGTTCGGGTCTCCACATTTCCACATCTGTTTGAGATCCCGCCCCCCAAGTGCCAATGAAAATTTATCAGCATTTTAGTGCAAATTTCTAATACATATATATTTTTGTATGCAATTTTGCCTACATTTTTGCAAAGCAGTTTCCCAGAATAGAATGCATTTTGTGATATTTTCACTAATCTATGTATTTATGGACACACTTTTTCTCTAATACGTACCTTTTTGCACAAATTACTTGGCTGGAGAACTGCACTGCAAAATTAGGTAGGTTTGCCTTTAAATGTGAACTGAATTGAATATCTCCCATCCCTATCCTTAACTCGCTTGTGTTAGGTTCTCCCTAAGGAGCAAGTGCATCCCCAAATAAACAAAATAGAAAGATACAAGGATGAGCCATGGCTGTCTACAAATGAAAGATGTATACACAGCGCAAGTCACTTATATAATGTGCCACTTTATGCAGGCCTAAAGCTTTTTCATTGAGACTAGTCCAGCCAATCAACTTGCTATGCTCATTTTGAACAATCATTCTGAGGTTCCTTCTTTGTATGCTTTCCCTACAGTACATTTACTGCTTCCTACATTGGCTTTAACTGTTTCACCACAAATAATTATTTCTGACTCTAACCCTAAAGAGCAATGGACTGAGGATGGAAAGAACTACAAGTTAGCACGGCGCATCCGAGTTTTCCCAAACATGTGTTAGCAGTTGTTAATAATAATGCGAGCGCTGGGCATTTACAAAAGAGAATCAAAAGGAAGAGGAGATGTTTACTCCTTCATCTGCTCCCTCTATCCACCACACCTATCCACACCCAGTCACCAAATCTCTCTCCTTTCAGTGGCCTTAGGAGGCAGGCAAGAGTAGTTGTCGGGAAGGATCAAGCCCACCACTACTTTTTATATGCAGATATGCACCTCAACCTTGCACGAGTCTTATGAGGCAGACATGGGACTGGGAACTCTGTGTTTCCTTTAGAAAGTGTCCTTTCTCCTCATCCTTTCCCAGGCTTATTGAACAAAGCAGGAAGAATATAAGTGGAGCACACTGTAATCCAGTAGGCAGACAGACTAGCAGCAACAACTGTCCAAATTGCATTCACCATGTGTCGATGTATACACAGACATGCAAACACATAGGCAATGCCTTCTGATTCAACTGTGCACCCAGGAGCACTGGTAAAGTGAGCAGGACCATAATGCAAAGGGGAAAAGCGGCAGATTAAGCACTTGGTGACTGGAGTATGAAGGGCTGTGCTTAGGAGGCAATGAGCTTTGAGGCAAGATGGCTCAGTTTCTTGCATGAATTGAACTGTAACTTTGCACGTGGGACTCCCTTTGTTAATCGTCCTTTTGCAAGAGAGGAATAACGATACTCACCTGGACAAAATTTCTGGTGTGCCATTTGGCTTCATTTTTGAATGTTACTGAATTTGAATGCTGCTTCTCCCATGAAGCTTCACGCTTCAAGGAAATGGGGGACATGATAGTAGTGATTGGAGAAGGAATGCACAAGAGAAAACCTTGAGGACCTGTTTCATTTGTGGAACAAATCAATATTCCATAGTGCACAGACGTTCTCTGGACAGTAACAGAGAACCACTCTTCACCCACAGCAAAAAGAGAACAAGGTGGACAGCCATGCTTTGGATAGGAAAGTACATCCTTCATATAGATTGATAGGGGCTAACTCTAGACTGTAGAAGGGGATGTATTTTCAGTACAGACTTGTATCCTCTCTCTCTTAAAAGACAACCTCACCCAGGTGATAATTCGTGCTCTTACAGACCCCACACTTCTAATGGGTTGTTGTCTATCAGGATTGCCTCCCCAGAGCGTGTGTTTGCATGCCGGCAAGTATATGAAAGACGGAGAATTATTTATTACACAGATCCTGCTGCAAATAACAGTTCTGTGTTTGGCATTATGCCAGTATACTTCTGTCTCTGGAAGCTTTCCAAGAGCTGCAGCTGCGAAGTTCTTGTGAACATTTTTCACTTGCTGGCTTTGCATTGCCAGTAGCTAATGGCTAAGGATGGAGAGAGTGAGAGTGTGCCTGGCCTCATTCCTCACTGCCTCTCAGGAGTAAAAAGTAAAGGCGGACGTTCATTTAGAGGGCTCATGACAGCACACCATTGCACTTTCTGAGTTACTGAGTTTGCCAATCACAGTTTATGGTAGCTCCAGAGGCCTTAAGGGTTTCTCACAGCTGACAACACTGGGAGAAAAAATCACCTACATACGGGGCTTTTGCGAAAACTGCTGAATGAATATTCAGGCATTAAGGGGCTCATGCAATGAGGGGAGAGTGGGAACATGCTAGTTGACCCCAGCTCTTCCTTTTGCCTCCCCCTTGCTGGCCCGGCCATCCTCCAATCATTGGAGGAAAAGTTCCATACCAGGAAGCCTACACAAATACAGCTGGCTTTCTGCTGTAGACCCTCTTCTCTTGTCCAACACAGAGAAGGCAATGGGAACAGTCAAGCCATCTTCACCTTAACTCATGTAATGCTAAATAGGTCTTAAAATAAACCTAACAAGAAGGCTTACCCAGTGGGTGAGGGCCATGTTTCTAGGTCACCTCCAGACTGCCACTGTTTTGCAGGAGGGATTTAGTCACAAAAATGACACAGACACAGGCTTGGCCCAACCACAAAGTGGCAGAAGCCCCCGAGGCAGTACATCTATGGGTGCCCCGCCGCCTCTGGCACTGGCGCTGACATGGCATCTAAATCTTGGAAGATCTCACCAGAAATTGGTGCCACTTTTCTGGTGGTGGAGGTGGGGGTAGGACTGGGCAGCACGTCCAGTTATGTCTCAAGCAGTGAAATGGGATGCACTGCCCCTGCAGAAAAATGCATTAGAGAGTGTGGGATAATTTTTGATTGACAGAAAGATGTGTAACCTCTGCGCAAGCAAGTCAGGATGAATGCTGAATCAAGAGCAAACACCGTATATAACCTACATACCAGCTGTGTTCAAGGAAATCAGGCTGATACTCTGGACTGGAGGGCACAGCTCAAACCAATGACTTCAAGTTACAAGCAAGGAGATTCCGACCAAACATTCAGAAAAACTTTCTGACAGTAAGAGTTGCTTGGCAGTGCAACAAACTTCCATGAGAGGTGGTGGACTCTCCTTCCTTGGAGGTTTTTAATTAGAGGTTGGATGGCCACCTGTCATGGCTGCTTTAGCTGAGATTCCTGCATTGCGGGGGTTGGACTTGATGACCCTCGGGTCTCTTCCAGCTCTTCTATGATTCTATGCTGAATAGACAGGGCAAATGGAAGCGCCTCTAACTCACAAAGCAAGAGTGAATCCACTTTATTCCCTGCTGTATCATACTGCTCCCAAGGAGGTAATCAGTGTGCATATCTTGTTAAGTTTGGCTTTCACAGAAAGCCTAAACCCCGAAGTAATTGTGCTTCAGTGTTCTGGAGACCACACAATCAATTCCTCAACAAGTATCAGGTGTTGTGTAATTGAAGTCATTAACTGGTCAAACCAAGGAAGCTATATATCCATCATAGTGACTGGGCAATTACCTGTTGCATTGCACTCACATTGTGAATCACTGGAGGTGCTAGTTTCATCAGGGCATGTTGCTTCTGTTACTTACTTCAATCTCATTAATACACTGTAGTTGAGCCAAATTCTTGCTACATTTCTCTAATGAGGGCTGAGAAAAACAGCAGTAGATGTACAGCAATACAGTGCACTCCACTTATACACCCCATATGTTTTTATGGACAGGCCTTTGTGCAACTTTTTTTTGCACTCAAATGCTTCAAGCTAACCGTTTATACTTCCTACCTGCCAGATTCTGGAAAATGAATGCAAATAGCACTTAAAATATGCTTGTAAGAAGAGATTGAATAAGAGTCAGGCCTCACCTGTAAATGTCTGTAATCACATTTTAGGAGAGGCAGCTGAGAAGCAAAGCTATTTTACTCTGCTAATTTCCTGACTTTCCATCAATATATTGCAAGTCCTCCTACGTGAGTATAAAATCATCTCGGCTGTCCACATAATTTTGTTTCTCAAAGACCTAGAAGTACACAACACTGCATCCACCAATATATCTACACAAATGTGTACAGATATATGTGCTTGCACGCCCACAAATAGATCATTAGTGATATATGGTTTCTGAAAATTACCATGGACTATTGGCCATATTAGTATTGATGAGATATCATACAGTCTCATTAGTATGCTGTTTGGTATTATTGGTGTTAAAGGGCTAACAGATGGTGCAGCTGAAACTCAAGTGCTATCATGTGACCTTCTGTATTATGACTTGACGGAACAGGAGTCTGTTTGTTCCGATGTAGAAAGAGACCTGATTAGACGTTGTGTTGTAATGAACATTTTCCGAAGAATTTGTTTGCAGTGTTCTGGTTTCTATTTATAGAAAAAGTCTAACAAAATTGTAAATTTCCTAAAAAACAACATTAGATTCATGTATACATTTCACATTAGTGTGACTTTGAACACTGATTTGGATGCCGACTATGTAAAGCTCTTCACTTATAGTATGGATGCTAGTGATGGACTGCTGCTCACAGCACAGAGATGGGGAACTTGTGAGTTCCCAGAAGTTGTTAGACTATAGCTCCCATCAACCCTGACCACTGACCAAGTTGGCAGGGGCTGATGGGAGTTGGAGTCCAACATCGGTTCACCTCTTATGCCCTTATGTTCTCACTGATTATGCTTTGTATAAGAGAAGCATCTTAGAATAGTAAATCTAATAGTTGTATAAATAAAAGTTAGAAATCAACACACCCTCTTCAGTATTATTCTTTTCTGTACAAAGCTGAATTTGTGGAGGGTTAATCAAACCCATGTGATGTACAGAAATTCTCTTCTATTTTTAAAAATACCATATTAAAGATAGGAGGGACTAATAGGATCTCACCATTTCACTTTACCCAGATGCCAAATGTAACATCAGTTTATTGGATTTTGGCTGACATTTGCCAATAAACCCCCTTCTCTGTCTCCCTATGGCATTTCTATCTTGGCTTTCTTTGATAGCTCATGGCAGCAGCCATCGTTATTTGACCTTCCAATTTTACCCTCAGAACAACTCTGTCAGGTATGTTAGGCTGAAAGAGAACCCAAAGTCACTCAGTGAGCTTCATTACTAAGGCAGGCTTATGAAAGTGGCTTCGTGTTTTTTTTTTACATATAGCAGTAGAATATTTTATCATTTCTACTGTATTAATATGGCCTCACAAAGGTCTTTAGCAATATTGAATCATGTACATTTTGAAAATGCTTTCTGAACAACACAGTGTCTTTATGAAAGCTTGGAAGTATTTTCACTAATAAAAATAGTGCAGTGAGTGAGTGATTCATGCTATTGTGGTGTTTGTTTATCATTAGGTATTTTTAAATTTTGGTATTTGTGAAATCCAAAAACATAAACAAAAGTGACCCAGATCTATATTTTTTTTTCTTAGAAAAAAACTGGCAAAACGCCAGTCTTGTGTTAAAAATCATTTGGTCAATAAATCATGGGTCAAACAAATGCTGTGTGATAGGTGCACCTAGTCAACCAAATCAAATAATGGGATATTTGGAGCAAACAACTCTTTGGGGTGGAAAATATTGGCTGAAATCATTCAGTTTGAAATCTAGATGGCATTGCACATGATACTCCTGTCTTCCAAAGAGGGCTTTTGGCTTAGACAAACACTGTGTATTATATATAAAAATGTATTTCAGATTTAACTAACATGATGGCATGATCTCAACATGATCCAAATAGGACTGACTTATTATTTTGTGAGTATTTTCAGAAACTATACCTATATATGTATGTGCACATAATATCTCATACGCAGGCATACATATATACTCTTCTTATGTAGGTGAGTGAACAGAAGGTGGGACCACTGCGCTGCCAACCACAGTGGCATCTCAACAAGGTGCAGGTGGCAGCTGTAGTCTCAGAGTGGCACACAGGCAGACGACAGACACAAAAAAGAAGGAAAGAAAAATGATCAAGACTTTGGCACAATGAGGAGGTGTCAGCTCAGAAGGGTGGGAGTGATGAAGTAGAATATTTAAAAGGTGTGGCAGGGAGGGAAGTGGGGATGGGAAAGGGGGCTGAGTCAGTCCCAGGATCAGTGTTGAGGGGAGAGTGGTTGAATGGACACCTCAGCAAGCTCACACGCAAAGCTACCTTGGAGCAATGAATACATGTCCCTCGGACTCAAAGCTGTTTGGCAGCAGGTATTCAAAATCTGCAACAGAAAGGTAACGTTATCCGGCAGGGGTTTGAAATGAGGGAAGAAGAAGGCTTCAGTCTCAGAATGTGACAGAAGGTAGAAAAAGAGAAAAAGAAAAAGAGAAAGAGAGGAGTAAGGGCAGAGAGAGAAAGAGAGAAAGAAAGAGAGAAAATAGACAGGAATAAACAAAAGAGGCAAAACAACTGACTAGTTTTAACAAGAGAGAAAGGAGAGAAGATTCTTTGGTAACTAGCATCATACAAAGTTATAGCCAATATGGTGCCAACATTTGGAGGATTTTGATATTTTATTGTCTATATATATATATTTATATATATATTTAAAAATCATATAATTGAAATTAAATATGTTTGATAGATTGTATATGTATTGCTTTAGGGCTATACAGTTACATATACACATATACACACATATATATCCTCATATTTATACATATACATATATATATGTATGTTTGGTAGGTTATATGGACATCTCTCTCTTATTACGATATTAACAACAAAAATAAACCACATGCTCTGCTCATACGGAAAGAGAATTACCAAAACAATATTTTGTAAGAAAAATTATCTTTCAGGCATCAACATGGCCAAACCAGGGTCCTTTATGAAGACAGTCCAACCAAAGACTTACCCATCAGATAGAGGTAAAATGCAATGCATTGTCGAGAGTGCAGCAGCTGCCTTCTAGCTGACAGTGGTCTCAAAGCACTGCAATAGCCATCCCTCCCTAGTCCAAACATAGAACACATCCTCCAGATTTCATAGATGCAGCCATAGCAAGCACAGAGCAGCATATGTGCTCTGCCAATGCTGAATTTCCAGCTCTATTGGCTGATTGCTTGAAGTTGTCTTTCTACCTGCCTGTCAGTTTGTGAAATGTCCAGTACTCTCTCTCATCTGCTTAACAGGCATTCAGCTTAAATGGCTTTATTAAAACAAAGAACTAGTCGTGCAAACAGGGCGTATGCTAGATTAAGTTAAAGCTGTGCCCAGATGGGCCTCTTGAAAGTCTCCAGCCTATTTCTGAACAGAGAAATTGGGAGGATCATTTCACTGATTTTTCCCAGTGTGAGAGGAGAAATCCTCCATTTATTTCTCTAGAATGGAGATCACCATTCACAGTGGCAGGTACAGTTTCTCCACCCCTCCCAGCCAGTTCTTTTTCTGATGCTGCTAGAAATTAAAGCAGCCACAAATGTGTTGGCCACCTTGCCACCAATTTGCGTTCCCTACAACGCCACAGACCAACAGTTATTCTGGGGCAGTGTGTGTTTAGATGGCAGCCACCGCAAAAAAAGAAAAGAAAAGAAAAAGAATGGTGGTGAATATTTGGAGAAAATTTTGCATTGTAGTCTTGCTTTTCTTAGGAATGTTTGGAGTGGGGGTGAGAGAAAAAGGAAAGACTCAAAAATATTCTCAGCAAAGTGTCTAAGCTGCAGAAAAGAGCAGCTGCGAGGGGTGCTCAGCTGGAATGGCACAGTTGCTGAAGAAACAGCCAATTTACCAGTCTTCAAGGAAAGCAATAACTTGTATACCAGTTTGTTAAATTGTATTTTATTTTTCTACTGGGCTGGATGATTTTCAGTGGTGAGATGCAACAGAAGAGCGGTATCATACACCTTTAATAGTTGTGTAGAAGATGGAATTTCAAGATAGAGATTTCTAAATATATATATATATATATTTAAAATAAATAAGTAAGCATCATGCCTGGCCTTTCTATTGCAATAAAATAAAATAAAAAAAATAAAATAAAGCCCTGCTAAATGGGTCAGGCCTGCTTCTTAAGGGAGAACATATTCTCATTTTGAATTGAACTATCCTTCATAGATCACCAGGCCTATTGTTCCTAGAACAACCTCAACCAGGAGTTTCACGAAGAACTTAACAAGGATGGGAGAGGAAAATAAACCTGCAGGACCATGTAGGAAAATTCCCATAGTGCAGTAATCACTCCCTGAAACCATGCTATGAAGTAGGAACAAAACTACTGCAAACTAGTTCGTCCAGTTAACCCTTGGCAGATGGTCCTGACTGATACCATGGCCATTGCTTTCAACAGCTAGGAGAATTAACAGGACCATTGTTTCCTGTCTTGCTCCTGGTATGAGTCATCTACCAGGCAACTGAGTCAGTTTCCATCCACAACACATCCTGAAGTTAGTCTGAAACAGCCAGTTTCAACCAAAACAAGCCAAGCCAAGCTGGTTTTCTACAGTCTGCTAGACCTACTTTGCCAGGAATCACAACTTGATAAGATTAATTTGTAATTCCCCAATATAAGGGAGAATGCTTTTCCAACAATGATCTTATCATCGTCTTGCCCTGATGAATTAAACCCTCATGCAATTATTTCAACCAATATTACTTCATCAGTCAAAATGGACAGAGGGAAATCAACAGGCATGTGGTGGGATGGGCCACAACCAATACAGGAAAGGGAGATAGAATCCTTATGGACCACAGCAAACATTGCTCCCCATCCAGCAACCCTATGTTGCTCCAATACCCAGCTAGAAGCAATTTGGACCAATAGGACCCACTGCCTCATAAAACCAAGCTTACATAATACCAGGACGCCCCTATCAATTCACCCCTATCCTAGCATGGATGGTATCTATATTATTTTGGCCTGACCTGGTATTTTGAAAGAAACAAATGAAGGATCATTGGAAGGCTGACTGAGCTCCCTGGAAGTAAAGGCCTCCATAGAGAACTAAAAAACAAACAAAAACAAAACACCACACAAATTCTTGAATTTGTCTAATGGAAACCTAGCAGATCTCACTGCTCTCCCTCTAGATCTCCCAGCTCCCTGTATCTAACCCTGGCCCACAAACATCTACCTCTGCCAGGCACATCTGAGCTCTAATCACCATCTCCACAGCGTAGTAGCAATTAGCAATAATTAATTAACACTCCACACTTGGCAGCAGGATAGTGACAGCTCATAAGAGGACACAGAATTAACTGCACACCAGAATTTAATCTAAATTAATGGCTTAACTTAAAAAAAACCCTTCTAAGGGATATAGCATAATGCCAAGTGAGGATAAAAAAAGTGCTGGAGAGCTACAGAATTAATCAGAGTAACCACGAAGGAACAATGGAACCTTATTCTCACCGTAGTGGAAGATATTAATGATATTACCAATAGGGAATATAACCAACTCTTACTGGGTAAACTTCTGGTGGTACATGTGATTGACTAAAATATCACCTGCCATCATTGGATGGGCTCAGTCCAGACAAAGGCCAAATGCCTATCTTAATCAGAGAAAATGTAAGCATTCCCAATGAATATGCTAATTGCCATACCATGCTCAGTGAGCAGCCCTAAGGGAAGACCTAAAGGGACAATCCCCTTTGACATCACTCTTTCAGCAGCAACCTGTTGGGAGTATTACCTCTGGCAAAGCCCTCAGATCTGAATGGTCCCTTCTGGAGATGCACCTCATCAGAGCATCCTGGGGTGCCTGCTGGCTCTTCCTTGTAGAGCGCAGGAATGGAGGGGTTTGGACACTCACCCCAGCTGACTCACTTCTGCTGTCACTCACAGGGTTGTGGTGGAGAGAGAAGCCCCCTGGATGGGAATCTGGAGGTGGGTAGTTGTTAAAGTCTCTCACCCTTGCTCTTCTTCTGCCGGTCTGGAATGTGCTCCAGTAAGAGTCCTCCATGGTCCACACAATCAGTGTTTTTGAAGCTTCCACTGGGCTGAATGCTCTACAGTTCAACTAAAAGCTTAATACCTTTGCTTCTTCTGCATCTAAACCATATATATATAAAAAGCAGAATAGCCCTGGACAGCAAGAATAGGGAACCCTCCAGATGTTGCTGGATGCCAACTTCTATTAGCCCCAACTAGCATGGCCAGTAATCCAATATTATCTGGAGGGTCATAGGTTCCCCATCCTGTTGCACAGCTTTCCTAAAGGAGCAGCAAAAGGATTCAGGTAGCCAAAGAGGCTGGCTATGTGCCTAGAGCAATACAATGCAACTGTGTGCTTATGGGCAGCTGCCTGAGGTCGAAGACACAGTTTAGCACACTTCTCTTCATGCTATATGAGCCTGTCTGCTTATGTCCTTCATCACACCTGAAGTGCTGCTGTACAGAGTGTGGGAGCCACTATTTAACTGTGCTGCAAATTATATGCATTATCTCTAACATAAAAATCCACTTAACCCCCCCCCCAAAAAAAACCCCAACAACAACTATTTTGCTATTTTTATTCTTAAGGGCGGGGGAAGGAATATTTAGAGGACTGCCTCCAATAAATCTGTACAACTGAATGTTAATGTCTCTAGGGAAAACGATTTCATATATGAATTCCTTTACTTTCTTCTCCTAGCATTCTGCACTTCAACAGTGCTCGCCACTGGAGACCCCAAGAAAGTGAATGAGATTTAAAGTGCTCTGCTTTGACGATTAGAGCAATGGGGGATCTTATCAATTCAGCAACATTTTAACCAGAAGGTGATACAGATGAAGCACACTGGTCACCCTAAAGAAGCTTATAGGATTTTTGCTTAGTTCTATGGAAGGAACAATAGCAGTCAAATTTATTGCTCATTTTTGTATATTCTCCCTAGCGTGTAGCATCATAGTATTTTAGCTCTTCATTCAGCAATCTGAACATCTTTTGGTTTGACTACATCGCCCACTCTTGTGGCTGAAACAAAATGAGGGATAGCTGTTGCAGGCTTTCCTCTGAAGGACACCCACTCACTTTTAATCACCATCCAAGCAACCTTACCACAGTTATGCATTTGTCTTAGCAGCAAATTGTCCGTTCAAGCATATCCACATCAAGACATTGATTGTGAGACCACTAAAACGCCTCTCATTCCCCCACCAATATCTCCCACAATGCATTACAAGACATACGTGGCCCTTTGTCAGGGCAGCACAGCCATAGGTTGGACTGCTATTTTCGAACAGGACTAAAAGGCAGGGTCTGGATACAAGCCAATGAAAGGAGGAAGAGGAAAGGAATACAAAAACACTAAGTAATTATTCCATCAGCATTGCCATTACAGGGTCACCGGGAACAGGCAGCTCAATGCTGATAGAACAGGGCTGATGACGACAGACAGAACCTTAGTGCTTGAGGTCAGGTCCCTGCTGATAACTCTTTGGTGCCACAATGTGCCAGCTACCCGTACATGAACGGTGTCTCTTCCTTCCACTCTGTGTTTATGGCAAACACTTATTTTATGTCTATCTGCACACACCTTCCCAACTGCTAGGCACCTTAAGGCATAAAACGTAAATGGATGAAAAAATAGTCAGTATGCTTAACCCCCCCCCTCAAAATTCTATTTACTGGCACATCTCTGTGTTTGTAAGAATGCATGTATCCTTGGGTAGTGACAGGGATGACTGAGAAGATCAGAGGGCAGCATATGCATGAAGATAGCTGTCCATATTCAATTCATTTTGCTTTTGTGTGAATGGTAAACTCTTCACCGCACAGACTTTGCCAACTCAGGCCACGTTAAAGGACCTTTAACCCTGGGAATAACTGACAGTATAGTTGGTCCCTGTTTCAGCTTTGCCCTTGCCAAAATCAGAGTTCCAATCATGGCTTTCATGTAACCCGGGCTGTGTACATACTTCTGTTTACTCTGGACCCAGGGCACTCCCACCACTGATTTATGAAGCTGTGTACCCATGGCATTAGCCATGATCCACATCTATCCTGCCATTTCTTCAGAAACACGGCATTTGGATGTGTTTTCTCCCAAACCAGCTTCAATCCAATTGGAAAACGTAAACCATATGAAGACATCCATGCCCACTGATGTGGACAGGCAGTGGGTGACCTGGAAATGCACCCAACTGCACTGACATGCAAATGCAAATTGAAATGTAGCAAAAAGGGGAATGGAGAGACCTTGCTGCATTTTAAACTGATAATGTGCAAACAGCCTCAGACCATAACATAAGGAGTGCTCGAGAATGCCTTTGTTCCCCATTGTCAATATTTTGCTTTTGCTACGGAGCAGTCTTTAATAACTCTTTTTCTTCTTCTGCTCATGCCATAGCTGGATGAAATGCTGCAGTGGATGCTGAGGTTGCACATTCCTCTACACTGGGGATGGGGAACATGGTGCTCTCCAGATGTTGCTGGACTCCAACAGCCAGCAGAGCCCATGGTCAGGGATAAATGGATGTTGTAGTTCCAAAGCATCTGGAGGGCCACAGGTTCCCCATCTTTGCTGAGCTCATTATTTAGCAATACAGAACCCTGATAACAGTGGCATCCGCATTCTAAAGAGTCTGCCTCAATGTAGGTTAACAAGACAGTGGACTTGGAATTTTATCGCGGAAAGCTTCCAAGACCCAGAAAGCTCTCCTGCTATTCTTAATGTCCCATGTACACATATTCATGTTCATAATTGGGGGCGATGACCAGCAGATCCTGTTTTGTGTTCAAAGTGAAGTGAAGTGCAACTGCTCTGCAATTCTCAGGACTTGACCCACAAGAGAAGGAGGAAACAGAAAAAGATGGAGAACCAGGCTCTATCTATAACCCCCAAAATGCAAAACAGGATGCAAAACAGTTTTAGCCTAAGGTGCCAGATAGACTGCAGCTGGATTCTGAAGGTGCTGAATCAAGACCCTTGTGAGAAATTTGGTAAATTATCTTCACGCTGTACCCTTTATCTATGGGAAGCTAAGGGACAGTTATTGTTAATGAAGTATTATTGCTGGCTGCAACTTGCGAGGCTTATGTCTTTTGGGGAAACAACTTTGATCTGCATGTGGCTAGGGTATGGACAGATCAGTCTATTTATGTGCCCACGATAATTTCACATTCCTTTACTCATTAGTCCAGCCCAGCCCATTTGTGAATTCATCTCTGAATTTTTTAAGGTTTGTATGAAAATTGGTGTTTAAATAAGTGTTCAACTATGTTCTTAAATAGTATTTGATCACAAAACACATTTTTAAACCCCTATTTATCTTAAGGCACACATTTCTAAATGCATTTTATCCTAAAGTATTTATTTTAATGCATTCTGGTACATTTTTTTATAGTTGAGACCTGTCCTGCAAAATTCTAAGGACTGATCTCTGTATTCATCCAGGAGGTGTGAATTAGGTCTGTTTGCTTGGAAATGCAGACCGAAAGAAGTCCTCCTCCATCCCTACACACGCTGTGGACCTGTCTGAGATTTCTACTTTCCCTGCTGTTTCAGTACTCAAGAAGCCTAAATATTTTCTTGCGGAAGTGATATTGGACTCCATTTCCAAACACTTCTCAGTCTGAAGGTCTCTGCACAGCCCTGTCCCATTCAGGTTGAGTTGTCTTCAAGAGGAAGGAAAGCACAGGGACAAGGATAGGGGAAGAAGATTTGTAGGGTAGGCGTGAGACAGGAGAGGAGAAAGGAAGGAAGGGCGTGAGGGAGGCATTTTTGCAGGGAGAAAGAAGAGCAGGATATTAAAACTAGCTACAAAAAACCTTATTGAATTCAAACATAACAATTCCATATGAAGTTGGCTCGTCTTAAACGGATTGAGTCTCTGAGCAATGCACAGGGAAGGAGTGGGGAGATCAGTAGTGGTGAAGCTATTATGAACATAACAAGACATGTTGCTTTCAAAAAAAGGGTGAACGAGTTTGAGGGGAGGAAGTGGAGGAGCAGGAGACAGGGAGGAACAGTTTGGTGGTGGTTTGCAAGGTTAGGCGTGGCAAACGGGCAAGGTAATGGGCAAGCAGGCCGGGTAAGTGGTGAGGGGGAACGGTGAAGGTTTGGAGTGACGGGTGGGGGTACTGGACACGGGTGAGGAGAAGGGGGTGGTGGAAGGGGAGTGGTCTAAGACTGAAAATACTTGCCCTTCAATTTGCTTGGTACTGTGTGAATCCATCAGAGAGAGAAAGCAAGAAAAAACAAACAAAAAACAGAAAACAAAAAAGGGGGGTTGGGTGGAAAGGGGAAGGGGTACAAACAATATTTTATTCAATGGCTGTTTGAATAAAAATATTGTGTATCATAATCATACCGAAAGGAAACCTCTTGCAAAAAACGACATGAAAAAGAAACCAAAAATTAAAAAAAGAATAATAAAAGTACCAATAAAAAGGCCACAGTAATAAAATAATAAAAAATGTATAGATATAACTAGATAAATAGATATATATTATATAACCAACAGAAAAAATGAAATTCAGTAGCAAACAGTTTGCAACAGTCTTGATATAGAAATGTTCTTACTGAGTTAGCAGACCATGCAAAATTCAAGATTAACAAAGGATACATACAGAGAGAGAGAGAAAGAGAGAGGGAAAAGGAAAAGAAACAAAGGGACAAAAGAGAGGGCGAGGGTGTGGTGAGCCTGGGTCTGTTTGTGAAGTGTGTGGGTGCAACTGTCTTCAGGAAGAGAACCTTAAAGGTGGAGGAACATTGGAAACAGTCCACTTGTGGAGAGAAGGTCTGGCTATTATTATTATTATTATTATTACTACTACTACTACTCTTGATGGCGCTGTGGTCTAAACCACTGAGCCTCTTGAACTTGCTGATCGTAAGGTTGGTGGTTCGAATCTCCACAACGGAGTGAGCTCCAGTTGCTCTGTCCCAGCTTCTGCCAACCTAGCAGTTCGAAAGCACATCAGTGCAAGTAGATAAAAATGTACCACTGCAGCAGGAAGGTAAATGGCATTACTGTGCACTCTGGCACTTGTCACGGTGTTCTGTTGTGCCAGAAGAGGTTTAATCATGCTGACCCAGAAAGCTGTCTGTGGACAAACGGTGGCTCCCTCGGCCTGAAGCGAGATGGGCGCTGTACCCCATAGTCGAATTTGACCGGACTTAACCATCCAGGGGTCCTTTTCCTATTATTATTATTATTATTTCTTAATTTTCTTTTGCAAACACAACCAAAAAGACTGAGCCTCGCCCTTCCTCCTCAAATTATGCTACATGGAGGGAAACTATATGACCACTTTAAAAAGAAATGGAAAACTTGATAAGAAGGTGTGGGTGACCTTCTGGCGAGGTGGTGCAGCAGGAGTAGCCACTAGCAGTGGTTCTGGAAGGACCAAAGGTGATAGCGATTGTGGGAAATGTCACCGCATCTGTATATTAAACTCAACACAACATTCAGGGGAGTGGCTGTGTCTCAGTGGTAGAGTGCATGCCTTGGAAGTGAAAGGCTCCAGGTTTAACCCCTGGCACCTGCAGATAGGGCTGGGAAACACCACTGTCCAAGACCGCAGAGAGCCACTGCCAGCCAGTGTCAACAGTACTGAGTCAGATGGACAAACGGTCTAACTTGGTGTAAAGCAGAGTCCTACCTTTTTAAGGGAGCCTACTCCCTAGAGTACCTACTCTAGGCTGCCGCAGATGAGGTGGGATTGTGCCTTAACCAGTGCTGTTGAGAAAGGAAACATAAAAGTGCCTAAAGCTGCACATTAAGCCCTGGGCACCAATGCTGCAGAATAATTCTGTGAGCCACCATCCTGGTCTGGTTGTGATATTGACAGATCCTTTCTCTCCAGTTTCATTACTGAGCTTGAATCAGACAACAGTGGATTTCAGGGACTCAACAACCACTGTGCCATTTAGAATGCAAGTTCTGGAGCTCTTACTGCACAGTGTACAGCAGCCCTTCTCTGAAGGAGATGATGTAACTTCTGGACATAAAACCCAGAACACAGTGGCCAGAGCAGGATCTTGCAAGGAACCACCAGGGAGAAAAGGCATCCTCTGTTCTAGGTGTTTGTGGGAGATGCTGTCTCGCTGAGATCATATAGTATACTCATGGAGGCATGAGCAGGCAGAAAGAAAATGACTGATTAGAACATGCAGGGAACCTTATTTGATTCATACATGCTGGTACTGTCCTCTCATGGTACTGTACCACCAAAGAAAATATATGGGAGCATTTATTTATTTGAAAGTACCTATCACTTAGAAATGTTCTATGTTTTAATATCTATCATACGAGGAAAAAGGATTGCTAGGATATTTTCCCCTAAAACGGTAGCTTTTTTATGTGGATGGAAAGTAAGAAAGAAATATTAAAAGAATATACAACATTATTCAGGAAGACTATCATGAATTGTTGAATTAACTTTCAGTCCATGTTTTGAGTTTAACATGAGTGTAAAGTCCAGAATCTAGGATGATCCCTCTGTTGAATCTCCTTCAGAGACAAATGCAGCCAACATAGGAGTATGTTTTACTCTGTTAGACCCAGTGACCTAGATTACTCATGTTCATCAATTTCAGTGGTTCTACTCTGAGTAAAACTTATTTGAAAACCACCTATGGATTTAAAAAAATGTTTTACAGTGCAATACTATGCAGAAGTAAACCTCACTGAGTTCAATGGGACTTATTCTTAGGTAAGTGCACCCAGAATCACAGCCTCAATGTCTTTTTTGAAGATGGGTTGCACTTTATTTAAATAAAAGCTAACATGTTGATAACCAGATCAGAGTTATCAAGTGAAGCACTTTGGAAGATATTGGCACTATTTGACATAAAATCTGCTATTCAAGTGCTAAGGAACTCCTTTAAGAATGAAATTTTGAGCAACTACAAGTAATGCAGTGTGTGTGTGTGTGTGTGTGTGTGTGTGCGCGCGTGTGTGCATGCGTGCGTGCGTGCGTGTAGTATGGGACTTACAGAAGGTAAAGGAAAAGAAAGAGAGAAAAAGATGAGAAAGGAGAGAGATTACAGAGACAGAGGGATAAACACAGGAAGAAAAAGAGACACAGCCAGAATCACTCAGAGCAGGATGTTAGAGACGCCCTTGGAAGTCCATCCCACCCTGCGATGAGAGAGTAGGGCCCAGGATCACACACAAGGGTAGGCTAACACACAAGTACACAGATTAATTGTAAATTAGTTAGGAAAAAATAAATCCAAAATTTAAATAAAAATAATAATGGCTTGAAACAAACAAAACAAAACATGCAAACTTTCCCAGCTTTCAAATTAACTGGCTGCTACAGAGTTATCACTTGGTACATAAAAAGCATTTAAAGCAGCAACTCAACCTCATCTCCCCTGGATGTTTTTTAAAGGTTTTAGTTTGTTTTATGCAAAGTGTCACGGGAAATCTTCACATCCCCGGGAAGCCTGCGTTATTCTTCCAGGAATAAAACGAAACCTCCTCTTCTTCTATGTGTAGGGTTGCTCTTATTTTTCATTTGATAAGCGTTGTAAAAAGTGACTCTGGCACTTTGTTTTCTCTTATTAGCCATCCTTAGGCTAGCTGGTGGGTTCAGGGTCACAGAGCACGCGAAAGGCCAACAGCAAACGGGAAGTATCTACTTACACTTCACCTGGAGAATCTGGTCGTTGAGAATAGCTTGGATGTAATACGTGTTGTAGTGCGGCAAGACCAAACCAAGGCTGGTAAAGGGGAGAGAGACAAAAATAGTGTTTCTGAAATTTCTGTGATTGTTAGGCACAAAATGGTTTGTACAGTTGCTAGCAATTGATGGCTGAAGACATGGGCAAAAACAAGAGCAGGGATGTAATATATTGACCACCCAGTATAGTACTTTAGTGAGCTATTGACACAGGATGACCATTGGGTCTGTCAGGAATGGAGCATAGTGTATTTTAACAATCACCTTCTCAGGGGGTGGATAAACTGGACCTTTATTTGCGGCACAAACTGAGGCATGGGGGTGCAGTGGAGCCAAAGAGATAATAACACAGATTAGAGGAGATGAGAACAGGCACTGACTTCTGTCTGGGGTTTCCAAGGAGCCAGGGCTTATAAGCACTTCCTCGTAATGGGGTCCATCGGCCATAGCAGGTACAGAACCAGCCCTGAGACCAGCAACAGTTATTAAGAAAATATATGGAGATGCACAACAAACAAGGCACATTTCTAATTCTGTACATCTATTCTTCAGCGCAGCTTTCCCCAGTCTGGTGCCCTTCATGTGTTTTTGAACGACAACACTCATCACTGAAACAAAATAAAAAAAATCCTTCCAGTAGCACCTTAGAGACCAACTAAGTTTGTTATTGGCATGAGCTTTCGTGTGCATGCACTTCTTCTACAGATGCACATGAAAGCTCATACCAAAAACAAACTTAGTTGCTACCTACCTGTAACTAGCACTCATCATCGCTGCCCATTGGGCATGATGGCTGGGGCTGAAGGGAGTGTGGGAGCCTTAGAGCAACTCTAGGAAAAGAAGGCTTGAAGGACCCTTAATTATGTAGCTGGGCTGGACAGGTTCTTCTGTCTCAAATAGGCCAAGCAGTTATTGCGCTTTATAATGTCAACATCAACTGCACTAGGAAATCCCTGGGGAATATGTGTATTTGCAACAAACAACTGTGCACTAGGTGGCAGCCTCACCAAACACTTTCAGGCTTCAGTACTCAAAACGATGCCTCAAGCTACCATTAAAGTAGGGCAGCTCTCTAATTTTTGTCACAATTTAAATGCACAAAAATAAGCATGTTTCTTTTAAAATGCATTATTATTAACTGAGAAGGGCACTGTGCAGTAGAAATAGCTGCATTTTACCTTTCCCCATATTGCATTTCCACACATTCCACGCAGAGGCTTGACAACCATATGTCAGGAGTGCTCTGATGGTGTTTCCTGCTTGGCAGGGGGTTGGACTTGATGGCCCTTGTGGTCTATTTCAACTCTATGATTCTATTCTATGATTCTACATCTTATAACAATGGGTGTGCATACAATGCAGTGCAATGCACAGCTCCTCAAGAACAAAGATGCTCAAACCTTTTCAATGGATCCATCAAGATAAGGATTCTGCAGTACTTCTTCTCAGGACTGCCATTATTCACTTACTGTCACTGAATAGTTATTTTTGCCCAATTGTTTGACGCCCCATTGGTTTTGGATGGGTTCTGCTAATTGTGTGTTGTATTCTGCTCTGCCAGCACTAGAGTTTATTATTAAATGAGGGGTATGGAAAATACTATAAGGCAATTGGCTACTAAATCCTAGTTATCTATTTATCTATCCATCCAGCCTCATGGATCTTTTTACATGTGGGAGTAACTCTTCAAAATTATTCAGAAAGTCATTATATCATTGCCCCACTATGACTCCACTTTGAATAAAGCTCCTTTGCCTAAAACTTTATACCAGCTTAATAACGGATATTATTGCCAACTGCTGGGTTTTTGTCCCAAATGTAAGCATCACATAGGATTATGAGAAGCACAATCAAATGGCAAGAGCAGAATAAGCAGGCCTTACATTTTTTAAAAAGCTGACTATATTCATTTTGTTTTTCCTAGTTGAATAGTAAAGCTGTAAAATGTGACAGCTGTATGTGTCATACAGGCTGAGAAAGTGTACCCCCCTCCGCAAATCATTTCTTTACAAATCTTACTATTTTTAGGTGCGAATAATGAAAGTTAAGATGAAAATAAAGATTCTTGATATTACAGGTGTTGCAGCCATGGATTGGACAGCTAAGGAACAACCCATCATTACTGGCTCAGGCTTGTTGTGAAGATAAAATGGGGAAGGAGGAGAATGATGGATGCCACCTTGAGCTCCTTGGAGGAAAGGTGGAATATAAATGCAATCAATCAATCAATCAATCAATCAACCAACCAACCAACCAACCAACTGTATCTGTCTAGACACCATCCTGAGCAGCATCCTGGTGCTGATGAAGAGATGCCAGCCAGATCCATTGGATCTACATCAGCCACTAGCCACAATGGCTATATTCTACCTCCACTGTTGGAGGCAGAGATTCCTACTGCCTCCTAAATAGCTCTCTTGAGATTCTGAAGCACTCTTTCGGATCACCATTCATGGTGGAGGTTCAGCTGAATAGGACGAGGGAAGCTATTACTCCATGCTGCTTCTTGTTAGCTCCTTACCTGTAGTTTGTGCTTTTGATAGGAGCCCAGGTATAGGTCCTGTAGACTTTATCTATGTATCTCTGGAAGGTCAAAGGTGAAGAAATAAGAGTGAGAGCATATTATTATTATTATTATTATTATTATTATTATTATTATTTCTTCCATGCTTTAATAAAACTATTGGGGCATTACACAGCAAAATAGTAAAAACACCAATATTAATTCAAAATAAAAATTAAAGAATATTCATTGTAACCAGTCCTTTACGTTCTTTCATTTAGATTGACTGTGAGTCTTCCAAAACCTGCATTCTAGAAGTCTTCCCAATTGCTTCATAGCTCTTAGGCTCCTCAGAAAACAAAGGAGCTGGTTGGGTTCAAGTCAATGTAAGAGCCTGCCTAGGAGCAATTGTGGAAACTGCATGAACATGGTGCCACTCTGGATCGATATCAAAACCCAGAATGATGATGTAATAATCCAGAACAGCTTTTGCGCTCTCTCTCTCTCTCTCTCTCTCTCTCTCTCTCTCTGTAAATTGGCAAGCCAGCAGCTGTGCTGCTAGCTCACTGCCACATTGCATGAAACTGAAGCCTCAAACAATGCTGAAAAATGATGGCTTCCACTACTGTTTCCAGCAACGCTGATTGTACCACAAGGGCAGCCATTTCTTTTTCAGTACAAAGTCCCCAGAAGCTGAAGCAGAAACTATTGTTTCAAGGTGTCATTTGAGGTTTCAAATCATGCAGTCCTGCAGTGAATCAACTTGGCAGCAGAGCTGCAGACTCCGGCTATGGGAGATGGCTATGGAGACTGTCATGATGTGTGCCTGCCCTTCTAAATTTACTACTACTCTCATCTCTGTATCCCATTGGGTGATTAGAATCTATATAGAAGCTCCAGGAATGCAGATTGGAAACTGCCCCAGTGGTCTCAGGAATCCATCTGGATCCATCAACCTCTGAGAGAGAACCATCCTAGTAGATTCCCAATCCTTGTGGAAATACATAGTCAGTGAAAGTCTAAATCTTATAAGGAACTGGTCTAACCATGACAAATGAGCCAACAGTATCCTATCCAAATCCAGATCACTATCCTGCTGAATCAAGAGCACCAGGCCCAGAGTATGGCTTACCACAAGTGTTGGGATAATGGTATGTTGGGGCAACGCCATGGCAGCCATGAAATCCTGAACTGCATCTGACAAGGCAGACTTCGTCTATATACTGCAGTCTTCCAGAACAATGACAAAATGCCCCAAATCACTGCAATCATCTCAGGCAAGGAAAATGCTTCCATAACGGCTGAGCACTAACAGGTCCTGATTAACCAAAACCAGGTATAAGCATTCAGGAGCCAGATCCAACTTAACCACCACCCTGGAGAGGAAGATGGAATGTATATAGACTCCAGTAACACCTTTCCAAGCTTTCCAAACTTGGTTGGCATTGTACCAAAAATAAGGTGCACAAAGCCAAGGAGGTCATAATCTCCCAGCTTGTTCCATTCACGTTTTGCAAATACAAGTCAGGTTGGTTTTCTCACCCAAGATCAAGTCCTGAACGACAGCTGTTTTTTGTCATTTTGTGCCTTTAAGCTAGCCATTAAAGAGAATGGCAAAGCCTCTTCTATAGAACTTGGAAAGCCATTACCAGGCAGAGAAGAAAACCACCTTCAACCTTTTCAGACCTGGGATCCAACTTTTAACCCAAACATGCAATTGGGGACTCATTTCTTAAACTTTCCCCATATATCTGAATGGTTGCAGTGGTTCTGTTGCAACCTGCAGTGGATCAGGCTGTGGCCCACTAGTTGAGTGGTCTACATGGGCTAATGGGTTAACTCAATATAAGTCAACTTCAAGGGTTTTTATGTTTACTCCCAACCTTCATGCATTCCTTCTCTACTAAGGACCAGGCAAACTGATCCTGTCTTTTAAAACTCCTGGTTACACTGACCAATTCACTCTTATCTTTGCTAAACAATCTGAAAGTTCACCACAAGTTTTTACCTCATCTTGGGACTTGACCAGAGTCTTGATGTATCGCTGATCCTTAAATCCATCTATCATGCTTCTCCGGATCTGGAGTGGGGGGCGGGGGGGGGGTAGGGCGTGAAAGGAGGCATTGCACATGGCTGAGTGCCAGAAGTTGCACATAGCAATTGGACATCTTTCTTACCTCTCTAGAAAACTGTTTTAATATTCTAAGATAGGTAATTAAAATGAGAGTTCTCTACCCATGTTTTCCAACTGGATGCTGAGAAAGTCCGGAATACTAGTCTCAAGGATGGAGATAGGATTTATACCCCAAGATGCTCCCTACCCTTCTCCCTGTGCAATCTCTCAGTTATGGCATAAACACAGGGCACCATTTTTCATTGGCCAAGGAACAGATCCCATATGCAAGTTCTGTGAAAATGCATCAGGATTGTAACCTGGGATACATGGCCAGGCCTCTAAGGGCTCTTTCATGTGTGGCAATTCCTATGCAGATAACACTTTCATGTAGCAGCTTGCACACTCTCCCTATATACACATCATGTGTACATGGGGCAAGAAGCCCTGTTTGATCACTGATTACTATGGTATGAGGCAAAACAGACATGAATATATTTGATAAGGATGGGGTAAAACTTCGATTCAGTTCACATTTAAAGGTGAACCCACATAATTCACACTTTCCAAAACAATGGACTTAACTTCCTAAAACAGAACAGACCCCACCTCCAAGGTTTCACTTACCTCCTCTTTGTTCTCGTCCTCTAGTTCAGCATCAAGGAAGTCCAGGGTCACAGGTTCCTGGAATTCTCCCCCCTCCTTACATTTTGCAGTTGAGAAAATAGAAGCACAGAATTTACCAAAAAAAAAGTCTCTCTCATCCTCAAGCGCCTCCCCCCACCCCCCGTTGATAGCAAGGACATACAAAGTTAATGAACTAACCTGGACTCTGCAATCATAATCTGAGGCCCTTTTTCACGGGCCTCCCTCATGAGAAATCTGGAGGGTGGCAATATGAGAGTGGACCTTTTTTTGCGGAAGCTCAGTCTGTGGAATGCTCTCCCCAGGAAGGCTTACCTGGTGCCTTCATTACCTATATTTAGGCATCAGGAAAAAACACTCCTCCTCCCAGGCCTTTGGCGAATTAAATTATCTATGGTCTTTTAAACTGCTTGTGTGTGGGGGGGGTATTGTTTTTGTTTGTTACTATGCTATATAATTTTGTGTTTTTATATTGTGAACAACCCTGCAATCCTTGGATGAAGGGCAGTATAGAAATTCAACAAAAAGGTAATTTATCTAGGGCTGAGTGTGCCAAGATGAAATGGTGGTTCTACCTGAAGAGAGATACTTGTGCAAAAGTTGACTGAGTTGAGGCCAAGCACAGAAAATGCACCGAGTCTTGGGTGGTGGTGGTGGTGCTACTCTGCTGAGCAATTTAAATGGCTATTGATCAGAGTGAGACTGAGGCAAGTGAATAAATTGGTGCTCTTTCTGTCCGTCTCTGCCACATCACTTGCCTATTAATAACACTGATGAACTGAGTTGGAAGTTTCTGCCAATGAAACATATCTCACGCTGATCGCTGCCATTTCTCAGTGCCCTAATTCCTGGCTGGCCTCTTAATGATAGATTTATCTGAACGGTATCTGAGCTGGAAGCCTGTTTTCCTTGCCCCACCCTGATAGATGTAGAGCGTCCCCTGAGATAAATTAGCCTGGGGCTCCTCACTCACTCCTTCTTGTGTGCGTGTTTAATATCCCAAGGAAGTAATATTTCATAAAAAAGGGGCCAGCTAATTCCTGTCTACACCTGCCAGGAGTAGAAGGGAAGTCCATATATCACGTCCCTGAGAGGTGGCAATTAGCGCTCTGTGGCTGACAAGAACACCATTTCCTGCTCCGCATTAAGTACAGCAAATGGCTCCCAGCGTTGGAGTGGTGAATAATTAGCTGAACTCTAGATTAATTTAATTCCCAAGCACCTAGGACCAGCCCTGCCCAGTTTCCCCAGTCATCATTCATCCACCATGTTAAAACAAATAGGTTGTGCAAATACAAGCAAAGAACGAACAAGCAGAGAAGTCACAGTTGCGAGACGCGGACTGTACCCATCTACACACACTGCACAATGGGAGTCCTGCAGATCATATACTGATTCTCTGTTTGCTGAACACCACAACCCATAATCCTCCTCTCCTGAGAAGACAAGAGCCGCTGCAGGGCCAACTCATGCCTCTGGCTGATATGAAATCTCTTATTGCTGCTGCCTTCCATCAGTCTGGGCAATTTGTTGTTGAGGGAGATGATGAGATCCTCCCCCTCTGCTAACGGATTGGCTGTCACCCAAGGTACTCACCGGCTCTTGGGTCGGAGTGTTTGGCACGCATGGAGGCAGCTGGTAGGAGTGAGACATGCAGCCACAGAGAAATCTGTTGATGGTCTACATTTAGCCTCAGAGAATTGGCAGATGGAAATGCTCCATCTGTTGGCACACCCTTACAGGACAATCCTTTGCATGTCTAATCACTCTCTGATTTTCCTTGCCCACATCCCACTGAGTTCAATGGGGTTTTCTCCTAGTCTTAATCTCCCACTTTTTGAAAAACATTCGGTTTGCCCTTTAATGGCTTGCTTGTATCAGCCTATAATTCTGATGAACTACCAGATACAGAAGAGCTCCCTGCTTACACAGCTAACTGGAGACTTTCTTGGTGCGGCAGATAATGCAGGGAGGCCAGATCCCAGTCCTTACCCAGACTTCCTAGTAACCTTATTTTTTTAGGACATAGTGACCAAGTGCAAAAGAGAATAGTGCTGCTGTGTCTTTATTTTATTTTATTTAACAAGATTTACCATATTTTTCCGTGTATAAGTTGCTCCCATGTATAAGATGACTCCTATTTTTTGAGCCCAAAATTAAGAAATAAACATTCCATATTTTAAACATTCCATGTATAAGATGATCCCCAATTCTAAACTTAAAAAAATTGGGGGGAAATATAGTCTTATACACGGAAAAATACGGTATATGTTGCTTAATAAAAGAAAACACCTCTAAGTGGTTTACATAAAATAAAATATTTGTAAGAAAACATACTTTTAAAATGAGTGGGCCTAATAAAATTATCTTTAATCTTTAATAGTCATCATGCAAGGGTGAGAAAAGTGAAACATTCTATTCCACAGAACTTTTAAAGGCACAGGAATCCCATCCTGTTTGGCATCTTGCCACCCTTGCCACATATGGGCAATCCAGCTTTTTGCAGTCCAACCTGTATCGCTAAGCTACTGATGAGGAAGTGCTGTAAAATGGAAATGAAAGTAAGTGCAAAATGTATATGTGAAAGGTTAATAAAAACATAAAACCACAGAGAGTTGCTGGAGACAGGAAGGGCTGTGCACAGGTATGAGCTCTGGAGAGAAACCCAGGATGGCTGAGGAGAAAGACATGGAGGCAGAATAATGTGGAAATCCCTTTAGCAGCGTCTAAAGCAAAAAGGATTCTATTATGTTGCTAAGAAAAGTGGAGGTGAGAATGGCTGAATTTCACATTTTGATTGGAAATAGCTAGTCAAACCTCTCAGCAGTTAAAATATTAGTGAACATTCTGTGACATCACAGCATGTTTCTGCTCTTAGTTCAGACTTTAGGGGAAGGCTTTGTGAGTTTATGCCATGACCATGAATATAGTTCAAGATCAGAAAAGCATCCACATTGGGTGGGAGGATAGAAAAAATGGTGTGTGCTGCAGGGAGGCTGGAAAGGTAGTGATCTAGGGATGTTAAGAGCTAGGAATCATGAGGGCAGGTACCAAAAGAGATGGATGGAAGAGAAGAAACTTCACGAAACGTGTAGGAAAAAGAAAGGCCATAGAAATAGAAAGGGCAGGAGCTGGATAAGTGCAAAAGGCTGAATTCAACATATTGATTTTAAACAATTAGGCAAATAGTTGACTGTTGGTCAATAATAAACATCCACCATCAAGAGAGAGAAAGCACATGTTTGCTTTTTGGTGGCAAATCTGTGGCTGAATATGGACAGTTCACTTGTTTGTGATAGCTGTTTGGAACTACTTTCAACCTGGTGTCAAATTGTCATCACTAATATTCCCAACTAATCATTTGTTCGCAGTTAGACAGCAATCCAGCTGTAGGCAGGTATATCAACCCTCTGCATAATAGCAAGAGAATTTTGCACCAAATCACTGCTTATTACATTGAAGTTTGAAGGAAAACATGGCAATGACCTACGGAAATGTTCTTTGAGTGAATGGTGTGGTGAAAAGCGGTGGCAGAGAGCAGATGATGCCAAACAGACACACTTTCATTTTGTGGGGTAAATGGGATGGAAAGTCACCTTATCTTTTGGTGGTGGTGGGTAGCAATGGTTATTCAAAGGAGGGGAAAACTGCACTTACCTGAGGTCTCAGATTTGGGTGTAGCAATAGATATCCATTCAGATCAATAGCAAATATATAGCCGTTGGCCCCTAACTGGATGGGAGGACAACAAGAGAAACAAATTACAGCTCAAGATGAAAGAGCGGAATTGCAGCAAAGTTCCCATGCCACTGCTACAGATAATCTCTACAGACCTCTGTCCCTCCTCCATTAATCAACCCAAGCACAGAACAGACACCTAAGACCTTCTAAACAGGGTTCCCCTCCCCCCATTCTCTCACTGCAGAAGAAGCAATGACTATCAGATAGGTGGGGCTGATTTGGAACTGGAGTGCAGGAAGCAATTAGGAGAATTTTGTGCAAATGTGAACCTCATGCTGATTCCCAAAGATGTCTCTCCCCCCCCCCCGCTTGCTCTTTATCACGGCTGAGACTTTGCAGGGACTGGCGGGTGGAAGAATGCCACTCTGAGGGAAGGCATCCATTCCTTACGCACATTGTATCGCTGCGTCAGCTTCTTGATGTCGTTCAGAGTCACGTCAATCCCCACAACACCGAGGATGAGCTGGTTCTGAAAAAACACAAGCAGCAAAAGCAGTTATATTCAAGAGACTGAAGTCGTGGACAACATAGACGTCATCCAATAGTGATGTAGTTTTTTATTTGCCCCCATGTCCTTGATATAAAGAGAAGGACAGGAGATAACTTGTCATAGCCAAGCCATACAGGGAAAAGTGCAATACTTGTGCAAGATGAGGGAGATCCCCAGTTGAAGAGGATGGTGGGATGACAATTCACTATTCCAAATGTTTCACATTTGAACCTCCTTTCTCTGACATCCCACTTATACACCTAGATTCAATAATATGTCTCTCTCTCTCTTTCTCACAAACACATATACTCATTTTTAAACCAATATTTGAAATAATCACAGGGAGTGTATGATAAGAAGACTCAGCAACCCCCTTTTTACATGGGAAAATCAATATGATTTCCTTTCAATTTTCACATGCACGCATCTGGATTGCACAGCCTTCCCAAATGAAGTAAGATGATGGCATGGCGATCCACAAAATGCTTGAGCATTTCCAAGACTAACTCAACTTATGTACTGTGCAAGCATTACAATGTAGACAAATTGCAGTGTCATTTGGACCTACCCTTACAGCTTTTCTCTCATGGTATTAGGTAAACGGGATGGATGGATGGATGGATGTGGGACACATTCAACTGAGCAAAGCTCAACTGGAGCTGGAAGCCATCTTATATTCTTTCCTGTCCAGCAGGATCCAATGGCCCACCCAGGTGGTTTCAGCTGGAGGATGGAAGCACACTGGGAACTGAAGCTCCCCCCAGCAGCTTAGTGGTTCACCCCATGAGGGAGCTGTAAACAGCTAAAAGCAAACTAACCCCAACAGTAAACAGAATCCAGTGACTGACAAGGGCACTGAAATCAGTGTCAGTCCCTTATCAGACTCTTCTACCCTAACCACATGCTTCTTTAAGACAAGTACATTCTCCTCTTAAAGAGACATTGGTGCCTGCACCTGCAAAAAGCCACAATACCAACTGCTACACTGCACGCCATGGGATAATGACTGCAATGGAGTTGCCATGCTGCTTTATGAGGCAGTAACTGGGCTCCCCGGAGAATAAATGGCTTGGTCTTTGGCCTTGTCGCTTACCTAGTTGAGAAACAGATCGTTGGCTGTTTAACAGAAAGCAGCTATAGAATGCCATGGCAGGTCTATTACTGCTAATAAATCTAAACAAACATGAATTGGGAAGCATAAGGGAAATGAGACAGGCTGCTGACACATGCTGGGATTCTACTCACTGGGGAGAAGGGAGGCATTAGTGCTCAGTTTAGTGGGGCTTGTTTGTTTTGGAATTCAGGTGCCATTGCAGGGTGAGAAAATCCAACAGAAATACTTAAGCTGATAGGCATAATAATAATAATAATTTATTTATACCCCACTCATCTGGCTGTGTTTCCCCAGCCACTCTGGGCAGCTCCCAATCGAATATTAAAAACACAATACAGCATTAAACATTGAAAACTTCTCCAAACAGTGGAACACACACACACAACACACAGTGTAGTGTGTTAGAGCTGACTGCTGTTGCTGTTGGACTCCCCCAGCATGCCTGTGCAGCCCTCTCCTTTCTGCCACCCAAGTCCTGCCCAGGGAAGCTACAGCGATGCTGGCATCAGGGTGGTTCTGTGGCTCTGCCAACTACATTAGCTGCTACTGATTGTTATTATTGTTCCTACTGTTACTGTTATTACTACCACCATCACCAACTGCTCTTCTCTGGGAATGCAGAAAGGAGATTTCAATGATCTCTCCTCTAGGTCGGTGCCCTACCTAGCTATAGCAATGCTGCAGCATAGGGAGCTCCCACACTATTCACACTTCTGTATCTCATATGTAGTTAGTGTCCATGTCTGTTTCTGACCCATCCCTCTCTGTAAGGTGTTCTTCTATAAACAATGGCACAGCATTCCTACTGGTTGACCCATAGAAGATGCAGCTTTTCTTTTCCTCCAGTGATACAGCTGCACCCAAACCAGTGATTTCACAGGGCACTATCCACCCCAGGACTTTGACACAGTACACGGTATTGATACAGAAATAACTGGGTGAAGTTCTGCTTTGTGCAGGAGTGTAGATTATACGCACACTAGTATGTTTTAAAATGCTTACTGCTCACCTGTCATTTGAAGGAGGAATTTATGCCACTCCTAACTTCAGGTACCTTCCCAGGTAACAATTTTTAATAAATAAACACTGTATTGGTTTGGCATGCAGCCCTGGTCATAAAGGTATGATGCTGATGTACATAAACAATAAACACAGAACAAGAAGGTGGTCAGCTGGTGGGCTGACTGACTTGCATTTGCTCTGGAAAAATCCCAGCCAACTGCCCCTCCATCATTTATAATCTTGCCCCATGTTTACTTCTTTTGAATGTCATAAAATTTGGCAGGGAGATGCTATACTCGGCTGATTCAGATTGACTGATTTTGAATTGACTCCACGGCACCATTTTTTGTTTAAAGGTATCAGTGACATCTACATGGAAGGCAAAGAACAAAACAAACCTTTGTTTGGATGCTAGAGTCTTTCTCTGTCACACAAACACATACTTCACAGCAGGCTAACTGTTGTGGATATGAGGAAGAAGAGTATCAGCAGTAGGTCAAAATCAGAGTGGGGGACATTGCAGGAAGAAAACATACCTTCCTTTCACTGCTGCCATCTTCAGTGAGGTTGAACACTGGCAGAGTGCCTGTTATGACCAAGCCCAGACCCTATCAAATGTCAAAAGCAAGAAAATATGATAAACACAGTTATCTAAATAGCTCCATACTCCTAAGGGTCAAATAGGTGTGACATAGGAGATCTATGATCAAATCTCTCTTTAAAAAACCCCCCAAAAACTTGAAACAAGTCACAGGGAGCTTTGATTTTTATTCCACTGCCCACTTTCAATTATATTGTGCAAACCAATGGCCTTGAAACATGGAGACGGGCCATGCTGGGAGGTGTAAATTATTATGTCTTGTGTGTACATCACTGTACAGTGGAATCCGCAGAGCCTGTTTCCTGAAGGAAACTGGAGAAGATACCAACTTGGGAATGTCAGACTTGGGACACTGAAGAGGTATGTGACATAAAATAAATTAAGTAGGACAAATTACACTGCAGTGGATGGGTAGACCTTACAAACAGGAGAAAAGAAATGAAAACCAAAAGACCAGTTGTGGGAACTCATAAAGTTATTTCACTTACCAAAGCATCCCGATAGACATTGGTCCACTGAACCTGTTTTGCTTTGTTCCCTGCCAAGACCATGGGTCTTCCTAGAACATCCAGATATTCCTGCAGAGAAGAGAAGGAGAAAAGCATGCCGATTAATTCACTTGTGGAAGTATGTGATATACAGTAACAGATGTATACCGCAACATTATTCTTGACTGAAGTAGAATGATGTTTGTCATGTTCAGTTCAGTTGCTCATCCTGCTCCCCAAACAAACAAACAAAACTCCCTTAACTTGAGGAAAGGGTTATAGGCAGAGGAGGGATTCTATCCCACTAGCAGAGGCCACATGTGCAGAGTAGAGCCCGGTGGAGGTGGGATGTGAGCCCCGACTTGAGTCAGGCTATGCTGGAAGAGAGATGGACCCAGCTTGAATGAAGCTGCCCTGTTCAAGGGCAGTTGGCAGTTTGAGCTTCCTCCTATCGAAGACTTGCCTCATCCCAAAACTGAACATGGATCTCTTTCCTAAGATAAAGGTTATGAGACTGGACTGAAACAGGGCTGGCAAAGCGAGGCTGCCATCTCAGGTGGCTGATGGAGGTTGGTGGTGGTGATGAGGAAGCAGTGGCAAGCTGTTGAAGAACAGAGCTGTGGGTGACACGTGGCCTGCCATGCAGTGTGTTTCCCTCAGGAGCAGTGGAGGATGCTGCCAGTGTTGACCTGAGATTCAGCTTCCAGGAGGGAGGGGTCATATTGTCCTTTGCCTCAGACAGCCAAATATCTTGAGCTGGCCCTGACTGGAAAGCTATTGAATCATAGTTGAGATGTTGCTCAGACAGGCAAGGCTAAGCCCTCTAAAGACGGGAGCCCAGAAGAAGAGAACCCTTTCAGGACAAGGTCAGACTGTAAAGACGTATTAGGTTAAGTAGTAAAAATGAGAGCTGTAGGCTGAGAAAAAGCCTTGGAGAAAGTAATCTTGTATGCGGATATAATGCAAGATGTAAATGGAAACACAGGCTTCCCAATGGAACTCTCAGTTGAACCCAGAACTCTGTCAAGAGCTGCTCGATTCTATATATTCCCAGGAGACTGAGAAAACCTGTTCCCTGTGTGTTATGAAAACAGAGATTTTAATTGTAGAGGCTGGCTTCAGAAAATGCAGGTCAGCTGCAAAATACTATTTCTCCCATTACTCCAAAACAAATCCTTGAGTGGATGTAACACGTCTCTGATACAAATCTATTCCCAATCATCTCCACTGCAGTGCTGACTTGAGAGTGGGTCAAGTATTGCCTGAGTATTTAACAGGGACATCTGGCACTTTGGTATTCAGCTTCATGAGTTCCATTCTCTAATTACGGATCTCTGTGTAGACAATCTCCACCACTAGAGGGGACATTGCACCACAACTTGAATGCCCTGCTATAGACTAATATGCACACGGTATGCTACTATACAGGCAGAAAAGGAAGCAGCATCATTACAAAGAACTAATATCTGATTCAGGGAGATAAAAGATAACTCTTAAGTCATAAATTTCTTGCATGGTGTCATGCAGAAGCTGAATTTCAACATCCAGCTTTGACCAGCACACATGTGTCACCTTTCAAAAGCAACAGGTAATGTTTTGGCTGTGAGTCCTGGAAGTCCTGCTCCCTGCCTTGCTGGCCTTTTTCTACTTGGGGGGCCCTGTCTGACTCCAGCAACAAAGGCTGAGGTTGCTGAACAGACTCTTGAGCTGGGGTCTTTTTTGGGTGGAAGGGGAGCTGTTGCTATTTTTTCTATTATGTTTTGTATCTTTATTTAGATCTTATTTATGTGGAAATGGTTCAGTCTAGTTGTGCATTTTTTGATGTTTTATTTATTATTTATGACTACTTTTGTTATGTTGCAATTAAGTATTTTTTATGTTGTAAGCCGCCTTGAGAATGTAAAGATGGCATGCAAATAAAATTATGTATGTATATATGTATGTATGTATGAATTTATTTTGTCCCCCCCCTTTTCTTTTGTGTGTTTCACAAAAGATACTTCAACAGAGCAAAAGTTTCTAAAATAACGGAGGCCCTTGTTGTGTGAGATTGGGCTTCAACAAATGTCAGAAGGACAGCAAACATTTGCTAGATGCTTTGTCAAAAATGTTATCCCATCCTTGAAATACTGTGTGTGGGGGGGGCAGGGGCAGGAAGCGTGAGACTCTAGTAATTGGCTCCTTCTCATCTGCAGCACTGAATAGACAAATATTGGAAAATTCCACCGGCAAAAGCATTTCATTCATCTGTGTTTGACGGTGAAGGTATGTGTGCACAGGAATTAGCGTGCAATCCATAGACTGCGATGTGTGACAACGCATATTCACAAATTTCATGGTGTACACACCCAACATGCTGGGAAGCAGCTGCCACATGTGACTTTCTAGTGAGTGTACTCATAGGGACACACACACACATGGATGCTTCAGTTTAAATTCCCACACAGAAATGCAGGAGATACACACACACACACACACACACACACACACACACACACACTTGAAGGAATCTCAGTACTCTGCCATTTCCAATATTAGGCTGATTTCAGCAAGGGTGGAACTAAGTAATGACAGAGTTCTTTTTTGCTTCATTCCATAACTTCTTCAGCTTGAGGAGGAAGATGTAAGCCACTGAGCACATTTAGTGTTGAAAACCACAAAGGTGAGGGAAGAAGGGAAAATGAACGAAATGTAGGGGAGCCCTGTACCAATGTGCACGGGGTCCTGCTCCCTTTATCCCTACAGGAATGCCATGTAAGCAGTGGGGAGGGCTGGGGGAACGAATGGTGACAGCAGTTCATTGTGCTGAGAGCTGTATCTGCCACCTGTTTGTCTTCTGTAAGCATGTTAAGGGACAGTATGTGCCAATCAGCCCTCGCTGTCAGCATGAAGGAAACACGCCCTTTCCCCAAATCGATTAACCCTCCCTGCAGGTTGCCATGGTGAAGTGTGGTGCTGTGGCAGGCAAGAGCTTCAGCCCTGAAGCGCATGGGGAATGTATTATTTCCAGATGATTTAATACAGGGGGAGAGAGATGTAAAGGGAAAACAGCATCACAGAGAGGAGGGAGAGATATAGGCAGCAGAAGGGGAAAGCGGAACAAAAGCAGAGATACAAACAGAAAAGAGAGGGGAGAGGGGGAGTAAAGGGAAAGTCATGTCACACTTTCAAGATCACACACTTGACCTGTGGGTTGATTGCTATTCTTGGAAAACTAACATCCTACCTTTCTTGCTCCTGTAAACACAGCAACACAGTTGGTTACCTGTGATTGTTGTTCTTCAGAGGCAAATAATAAAGTGGGGTGGGGAATGTTGCTGGACTACAAGTCCCATTATACTGATTGGGGCTGATGGAAGTTGGAGTCTAGCAAACATTTGGAGGGCCACACGTTCCCTACCCCTGCCGTAAAGAGTCCTTCATATGTGGCCACTGTGGCTGGCCATGTGACAGGAAATTCTTACTAATGGCTAGTAAACTGAGATATTTATGAAGGTAAAGGGCTGAACCTAGTTTCTGAGGCCATCAGAAGACCTGGGGTTTATCCAATGATAGCCCTGGTCTGACTTAACTTAGGTCCATTAATTTTAATGGGTCTTCTCTGACCATAACTTAGTTCAATACTGGGCTCCAAAATTTACTTAATTTACATTTTGACATCTTCCCCTTCCTCCAAGGAGCTCAGGGTGGTTCACACATAGAGTTAGCCTAACCTACCACAACTGGGTTGTTATGAGGATTAAATGAGGAACCATGTACATTACCTTGAGCTCACTGGAGAAAAGGTGTGATATAAATGTATTAAATAAATAAGTAAAAATAAATAATTATATCTGACCAGTTTTCTAATCCCACACTCATGCCTTTAGTCAGCCAGTTATTGGGGCATTTTAAAAATTAAACACTGTGGTTATAACAATTTGTCTTTGGTTTTACACAGATAACTTTCCAAACTGCATGCAGTCGGGATGTTTTTTTTAACACTTAACAGCATAAAGTGCCTGTGTAGTGCATCTGAGGCTGTGGTTAGCCAGGCACATATTGTATTTTTGGTTATTCCAGACGGACAAGTAGATGCATACAGCTCTTAAAAACCATACTTAATCGTAGGCACAAATGAGGCCAATAACTTAACATCTGGCACTGCTTCATGGCAGCCTGGCTTTACTACACTAATTTCTATGTTGTAGCAAATGCTTCAGATCTGGGATATAAATGGCTCCATTACTCTGCCTGATCTGCTTCTCTCGGAGACCTCAGGCAGATGAAATCTGACGTTTTTGATGACAGGCAGTTTAATCATAGGCTCCCATAATTGGACTAGAGACTTAAGGCAGCTGAGAGTCCAGTTAAGTGTGATTATTTGATGGGCATACTTGTTGTCTCGTTTGTGCATCAATGAAAGAAACACAAATGGCTTCTTGCTAATATAAGGCTCCGCTGAGAGACAGGATGATTAAATGCCATCAATGTTTGTTTCTGCTGTGGTATGTCTTTGAGCGAATCCGCTCTAATAGGTGTTAAAGGTGGTAAGAATTAAGCAACTAATATTGTACAATAAAATTGTCACAATTGGCTGGGTGACAGTAGCCAAGAGATATTTTCTAAGGCTGTGTAAAACTATTTACCGCTCCTGCCAGATTGTCTGCTCATATAAATTAGCACTGACGCCTTTTCTTTCATCAGTGAATAATCTGTGCATTACCAGTTAATGGCTACACCCAGTGCTTTTCGGTGACAGTACTCAGTACTCACTGATACCAAGTATTGTCACCTCTTTTATTTTCCTGCCCATGGCAGACATTTTGTGCTGGCACCCACAGGACATTTATCAAGATATAATTACTGGCACCTCATTTGTTTTTAAATAAAATAAGCATTGAAAACACCTATGATTAAGGATATATATCTGCATTATAATTGTAGACCAGGCATGTCCAACAGGTCGATTGAGATCTACTTTGGGTATTCCTCTCCCAAAAAACCTCAACAGCTTTGGTCAATCCAGTGGGTAGATCACTGACAGTTTTTTTTTTAATAGTGGGAGTAGATCGGAGTCTCTCGGGAGTTGGACATGCCTGTTGTAGACA